CCCAAGCACTCTCAACAGACTTAAGAGAGAAGCCGGGAGCAGCCACACTGCTTCAGTCTCACTAGTCGTTTAGTCAGAGCAACCTCGTCACTGAATCACACAAGAAGTCACAGCTCTAACAATAACACTGACTCATCATGCAGGTGCTGAACTTCCTGTGCCTCAAACAATGGTAAAGACAAGATTTATCAAACGATGAGCACCTTGGAATTCAAACTAATGTGAATTGAATTGTGTTGTTGCTGAACAATAACAGCACAGGGCAGAATCTCAAATTAATTAAATAACTGAAATGACACTATAAAGTGATAATGTTATGTGAGGAGAAAAAGTCTGTTTCCCTTATTTATTACATCGTACTTTTATGGAATTTTTATTTCATGACAATTCCCAAATATTTAACCCATATTTATAAGCAACTACTCCCTCCCTATTTTACAACTAAACAAGTCTTTTTCCACCCTAAAATTTCTAGATACAGAATTGTTGTCATCAGACTCCAAGATTTTTTTTTCACAGAACTATTATAATTGTTGAATTGTGAAAAACTAATTAAGTCTGGACCTATAGTCTTGGACAGTTCAAATGCTGATCCCTTTTCTGACTAAACCTTTCTATATCATATAAACTGTGATGCCAAAACATATAGTAAGTCTTACACTTTTGTAGTGAAGGCACTCCAAAGGAAATATTTGAAATGTGTGTATGTTTTTTTTTCCTGGTGAAAACTGAACTTTTAACCAATCGGCTGCACTTCTATGTCAACATTTACATTCCACAGAGACAATGAGCATTAACGTGGAGCAGCATTCCAGTGTCCACCTATTATCCACAAGGTGACATGAGCCTCAGTCAGTGGAGTGACCATAGAAATATCTAGACAGAGCTTGACCTACAATCATATAAAACACAGAAGAACAAGTAGGCTTAATAGACGAGAGTGGTAAAACGTCTTGTTAATTGTAGGTGTGTCCAAGTTATCAGGTTATCAAGCTGTACAGTATTGCCAAATTAAACTGAAAACATACGCAGGATAAAGGCCTACTATTATCAACTAATTCAAGTATTGTTCAAGACGGAGCATATTGTCACTGAAATTTCATGGTTCAATGAGATAAAGAAACTAGTTACACAGGTTATCACCACTGAAAACGGCACCTTGTTCATGACTCAAGTCTAGATCATACAATGTTATCTACAAGCGTAAGCGGAGAAAAGAAGCACAGAGAAATCCCAGCCCAAAGCACTGGTTTCAGACCATATAATTGCCAACTGCACAGGCTGTAACAGGATGTGGAATTCGTGGACATGCGCTTTCCACGGAGCTATTTAGTTCCTGGTGTAAACCCCAACAGTGCCAATGAGAGAACATGGTAAAAAAAAAAAAAAAAAAGTGCAGGTTTAGTGCGTGCGTGGTTGTGTGGGGTGGCAACTGTGCATGTGGGGCTGCTGGCCTGGCAGAACAGAGCAGGAATTTACCAGTGTTAGCCATACAACTGAACCATTGTCAAAAATAATCCAAACAAACCATCTTTTAAATGGATAATCAACTGTTAAAATGCAGTAATATGCAGTATTAACAATTAAACAGGTGATTTAGGTTACAAAAACAACTCCACTAAAGTTGGGAATGCACAACTAGTCTACATAATGAGCAATAACCTGCTGTGATCCAACCAACTTAACCAAAAAGTGTTTGAAAAAAACGAAACCAGGTTCAAAATCAGCCAAAACAAAGCAAGCACAATATAACACTTGTGCACAAAATGTTTAACTGAGTCCAATACAAAGGTCGCAAAAACCTGCTCCGCAAAATGTCACTAAAGTTGGAACGCCATGAATAACTTCTTCCTAAGTAAAAAGTGGGCAAGTTGTTTTCCGTTGTGTGTGTTTATTCACACCTATGAACTATTCAGTTGTCATCATGTCGTCTTCAGTGGGAAAAATAGTCGACGAAGCGCAAATGTAGCCTGGAAACACAATGAAGATGAAGGGATTTGAGCCGCATTACCCACCTCATTGTTCGGCCAGAGTGGAGGTCGAGTCCGCAAGTGGAACTTTACTGACTTCAGAGCGCAATCCCGTGTTTAAAAGTCAAAATAACGCCATAAAGAATCCTCAAAAACCTGAACACAAATGCATCTAAACCCGCATATGGGGTAGTCGGTAGCGGGATAAAAGAGCACACCTCGTCGATTTCCTGGTTGTATGGAGCTGGAGAGGAGGAGGGAGGGAAACAGGGGGAGTATACAGTAGTGGAGCGGGCTTGTCAACTCCGATCACTATCCCTGTGGTTTGTGCTTTCTACGCGCAAAAAAGGTGCAGTCAAAAAGATAAATGCCTCCACGAAAAATACAAACGTCTTCTCTTGTTGTTGTTGAGGGAAGACAGTTTATTGCGGCTTTTAAGAGAGTAAAGCTGTGCGCCCTCGCCAGACTTTTCGCCTCTCGGTCGCTCGGTAGGTCGATGTAATTCACGGGAGCCCTGTGGCCCAACCCGCCAGCTTCAAAGTAGCCTACAATCCCATGGTGCGTTTGAGTGCACCGCTACGCTACGACACACTACTTAAGTAATAGATCCACAATAAACCACCAATCCCAAATGTGGACTACTAGTACGAAATGATAAAATAAAGCTACATAAAGCCAAAGAAAACATCTGACAACATTTCGCATGAGACAGTACTGTTAGACGAGTAGAGTAAAGTGGTGGAATTTGTATTTTTCAGCTTGCACTTCAAAGCAGCATTTATCCAAACCAAAGTCCAGGCCAAGGCGCATGCCCAGTAAACTTTTGGTTTACTTAATTAGGTCTACTTTGGCCAGCCAACAAGAATCCCCTCAGTAATATGAAGAAAACTGTATAAAGAAAGTTATGTGTCAGAGCACATAACCTATAGCAGACATAACGATAAGAAATGCCAGGCTATGTTGACTTAAATCATCAATGTGGACCATAGTTCAATCCACATTTTAATCTTAAAAGCAAAAATAAATAAATAAAAATAAAATAAAATAAAATAAACAACACCAAGGGCACAACTAAAGTAAAATATTTCCAGTATTTTTTCGGTGATCACTTCAGTTAACATTTGTAGTCACATTATGTATCAGTTTTCTTGTCAGAAAATGTAAACTCAAGTGCTCAGCCTTCCTAATGGGAACAGCAGTGGTCGAGAGGATGAGAAAGGAATGCATTACGTCTATGGCATGTGTAAACATCCAGAAAGCTAATATGCCTTGGTCTCACCACTGCACAGACTGATAGACAAGCTGCTGACTGCTCTCGGCAACTGCAAGAGCCTGATATTATTGTACCCCCTCTTCTAAATTCACTGTATTACATTCTGTGGTTACTGGATAGCCTAATGGCTATAGAAACCTTGCTGGGAAATAGGTTTTTGAACATATTCTACAGAATATGTTTGTGTGCCCCTGCTGCCTTAGTCCTTTTTGCACTTTTTAATAGAAAGATGAACAGTAAAACACTAAGCTGTCAAAAGTCTTGATAATGCAACTTTATGCTTAATAGTTAAATAAATAGTTAAATGATATGGTCCAAATATGACTAGTTTACAGTTCTTTAGTCAAAGGTGCATTGTGTAACTTTTCCTGTGGAGGGTCTGTCAGTTGCTTTTCTCTGTGAAGATGTTATTGGTTTGTCTCAAATGTTTCACAGTATGGCATTAAACCTTTCTATCTTCATGGAGACCAAACCAGACCAAGTTACAGGTCAGATCTGTGGAGTGGTGAACCCACTCAGAGTCAGAATATCTGTTTTTCTAGGTATTTTTGAACTATAAAACCATCTGTAATTTAATAAATACAAAAGTAGAGCTGTTTGATGCCATACTGTTTAACATTCCCGGCAGAGCAGTAGCATGTCCATACAGTAGAAATGAGCAGGCCCCCAAACAAAAAGTTAAGTAGTGCACCTTTGTTTGGCAAAAGGGGGTATTCATAGCCAGGCCTTGTGAATTGTGAACCGCACAGAAGTTTAACCACACAGAGGTAACACATGCTAGAAAAATATGTATAGGCCTATGTAAATTTGAATTGCAAGTTCACTGCGAATTCTAAATTATGCATTTTTTTCTTTAATGTATTCTTATTTAACCAGTCCCAGGAGTGCTACTCTCCAGCCTACTTAGACTTATGACTTCTGTCCTGACTACTTTTTGTTGGACCCAGTTTTGTAGTGCATTCATTTTCCACAAGATGGCACTGGCAGCAAAGATTTTCGCGAAGTCAGCCATGGTCAGAACTTTCTATTCTACATGCAATATTTTGATTGATGGTTACGCATTCTCTTCACACGTTTTCTAAATTGTTTATGCTGTTACAACATTGTAACGAAAATAAGAAAAGTCTTGTTACCTTGTATGTTTGTCATCTTGAGTTTGAGTATTTTTCCTTTTACTGTTCTTTTAACTACGCTACTTACAAGTCTTTGTCCGTGTAAGGGTAAATAGACCTAATGGTTTTGTAATTTAAAAATAAAATCTAGAATGTTTGTGTTAAAGATACAATGTGTAACTTTTCTAGAAGAAGTCCGCAACCCTATTTGTTTCCACGGAGACATTTGCTTTGGTTTAAATAGTCCACAGTATGGTAATAAACCTGTCTTTCATTTATTCAACTACAGGTGTTGTTTATTGCTCAGAAATATCTTTAAAAACATCCAATTTAACTGTAAGTGGGATCGCCTCTCCACAAATCTAATCTGTAATTTGGCTTGCAAGCCTCCATGGAGATAGGTCGTAACATTACGAATCGTAACATTTATGGCCATACTGTGGAAAATTCTGGACACATGTCCACGGAGATAAGAAAGTGAAGGACCTTCTACCAGACAAGTTACACAGTACAGTTCTTTAAATAAATGTATCGGATGGTCGTACAGAGGTTGTTTGTAAATAGTCTTAGGCCCAAATCTGAACCCTGTGTGTTGTGACAGCTTCTCACTTCAAAGGTGACTGATGTGTATCCGTGCGCACGCACCTGCTGGCGGCGCGCACCCTCAGCCCTGCTCCGCTGAAGGTTCTGGTGAAAACAAACTGCGGCGAGGGTCCGATTTCCGAGGCCAATCGATGGACTGCCGCTGCGGTATCGCGTTGCCTAGGGGCTCGAGTGTCGATGCATAGCCGATTGCTATCATAATCACACTTCCCCCCACTTATCGTTTAGCTGCTGAATAAAACATCTGGCTTCCTGCTCCTGAATCTGGTCACAAACTCTTGAGGGATGGATGGCTTTCCTCGAGTCGAGTGTCTTTGAAATTAGAAAAGTAAAAGAACTAAAGTTTAGTTCTGCGTTAAAAATGAACTCAATATTTGCGCAGGACAAATCAGAGCCGCTGGGGTCACCGTCTCACAAACTTTCTTACGACCGTATTTTGTTCTTATATTCCAACCTTCTGGCCATGTCTTAATTATTCTTTTTACGTGTAACCTGAGCGTGACACACTAACAATTAAGTGGTAAATTATTCCAAATCAAAACACAGAGGGACGACAATTAAAGTAAAGCACACCAAAATCATGACAAAAAGACATTTCATACCACTCCATGACCCAGCAGAACTAGGCCTTCGAAGCGAGATGTGGCCACACACACACAGGTTCTAGTCTTCGGCACTGGGCAGGCTAAGGTTATCAGTAAAACAAAAACATATCACTGAAGAGGCATTAATAAAATCTTTAAGATTTGATCAACATGTTCATGTTGATATGATAAATAATCAAACACTAAATTTGATCACACCACGAGTCCTGTCCTATTAATTAAACTTCTATATTAGCAAGGTTAGATGCCAACCATAACGGGAGTAAGGTGAGCCCTGCTGTTAGCTATTAGGACAATTAACAAAGTGGTCAGGAGGGGCCTCCCAAATGAGGGGAATAGCCTCAAATGGAGCGATGTGAGGGTGTGAAGTAACAGTCAGCACATCTGGTCTCATCTATAATGCAGCAGGCCTTTAAACGGCAGTTTGTCACCTATTGAGCGCTGCTGGCTGAAATCAAGCCTGACACCCAAGATGCCACTTGGAAAGGGTGACGGGGGTACGAAGGAGGGCAATAAGGATAGTGAGAATAAGGAGAACTTGCTATAATTAAAATCAAAACGACAAAAATAGTCAGTATAAACTAAAGAATTATACTTTCAATATTTTTTATTATCTAAAATGAAAGAGAAGACATCAATTTCCAAATCAAGACCAGGTTTTGTCTGAGACATCAAAATAACAAAACTAACAACAACTTTCTACAATGCATTTAACATTTTATAACTGCTGGAAATTAAACTTTGGATTCACCAACAAAAGGAAAAGGCAATTGGACTGGTTCAGTTGGAAGTAAATAGTTCATTTTCCAGTGATGAGAGGATTTCTCAGGACAACAATGACTGAGTCTCCTCTGAGGAACATTTTAGAGATGTAACGATCCTTATTCACAGGCTTTGACTTCTTTTTTCCCTTCCCACTCTTTGGAACTTCAGTCCACATTTCCTTTACATTTTCCAGGACCATGTTGCAATGTCTGCAAGAATATTACATAAAAGGACATCAGGATCATCAACAACTAGAACAACTTGAAACTAAAAACTGTGGTTATAATGTGGAAATAAAAGAAAAAAGGCAAGGTTGAAGATTTAAATGGTACATAAATGGGTATTTTGGCTGTGTAAGTGTTACCTATCAAATGCCTTGACTCTTCCAAGTAGCTTTTTGTTGTTGCGACAGTTAATCAGGACCTGTGTGTTGTTTTTGACTGACTGTGTGAGCACGGACAGTGGACCGGTGTTAAACTCCTCTTCCTCACGTTTCTGCAACTCCTCTGGCGTCATCTCTGATTTAGGCTTGGTTAAAAGACTCCTATAAGTGACACAAAGCACATTTTATTTAGTGTTTTATGCAATGTTTGATAGCTAAGAAAATAAGTAATATACTTAAAGATGTACTGCACTTTTAAAAGATGTATTTGAATAGAATATATGTTCTGGCGTGCTAACATTTATTTTGGTAAAAACAAACTGAATATGTTTAATTATTATTTCAAATCTATACTGTGTTGTTTTGACACTTGTAACTTCAATAATGATAAACTTGTATATTTGTGCTTATAATGATTAACGATTATATCACTCCTGACATGTCAAAATAAATTTCATCTTGTGGATTGTATTGTATGTAAATGCCAGTACAGTAACACGTGATCATAGAGTCCATAGATTAAAATGTTAATATTAACACCGGGGTAAAAGCCCTATACAGCTAGGCTAATCGTAGCATTGAGCTAAGTTTTGCTATGATGGTGATCTATTATCTGAAACCGTCCCGCTTTGTTTTATACGACAACATACTAGTAGTAGTAATATTGATGGGTGTACAGTGCATATTTTAATAGATCCATGGTACAGGGAAAAACAAAAAACTGTCCTGAAACCAAACAGAGAACGGCGTGGAGTCGGTAATTTTCTATTCATTTCATTGAGCAAAGGGAAAAAGCCTTATAACGCCGCACGGTCCCATTTTAGAGTGGAAATTGTATTCCCGACGGTATGATGTGTAAAGACTAAATGCACTTACATTGTTGATGTCTTGGGTAATCTATATAAGCGTAAAAACTTTAAACAAGCTCTGACGCTTTCTTCGTTCCAACAACGATGCCGCTCGTGTGAAACAACTACTTCCGGTTATAGAAAGAGTTTGTATTTCCGGGTTAATTTTTCCCACTTTTCTTCTTTGTGGTGTTTTTAATTTAATTTTATAGCAACGTAAACGTACGCATATAAACGTAAGATTTTTTTGTTTATATTTGATTAAATATTTCTTAGAAAATAATGAGCATAAAACAATGTGTGTTATGTTCAGCTGACTGTCATCGCAAACACAGATCAGTGGAGAAAAGTGGATACTGCAGGAGTAGTAAGTGGTAGACACTACACACTAACAGCAATGAGACATGGTGAGATTGGCTTTCTGTCCAGAGACAGACAGACGCCTTGGGCTGTACAAGCCATTCCACCTCATTTCAAAGGGTGGCACATGTAGCCTACCTGTGGAAGCCACTAGCTGCAAATAATAGATGCCTGTGTGCAGCTTAGAAAGGCAAGTGTGAGGGTTTGATTTCCAAAGCTTTAGATACCTTATATCTTAACTACAAAGTGGATCTGTTTAACAAGATTTGTGTTGCCCAATGTGTGAAGAAATTCAGCCTACATAAGACCCTAACAATGCTCATAAATAATAGCCTAAACCAATATTGTTAGTGATATTTTATTCTGTAGATGCCGATCATAACTCAATTGAAGAGTAAAATGTATCAATTCAATTGTTTGCAATCCAAAATAATATAACCCCCCCAAAAACAGACAGTGTGATTCAAAGTCATTTCAACAGATGATCTAATGTGCTTTATTTATAACAGCCAACAGTATTTTCTTACCAATGTATCCTCAGGGTAAAACATCAGTTTTCAGTAGACTTGTTGATTCACCGTCTTGCTCCTTTGCAGTGCTTATGCCAGCACTGAAAATATGATTATCCTCTTATCTAGACAGTGAGTTTGCCAACAGCCGTGGAAGTTACCTGATCCAGCCCCCTGATTTAACCACAGGCGACTGCATGTTCAGCTGAGACCAGAAAGGTGACAGTTTGTACTTTGTTACAATGAGTCTTTTGTTTTAAAAGAGGCAGGTGTCCAGGAAACTGTTCAATATATATCTTAACAGGTACAGCATTATTATGGTTATTTTGCTTGCAGGGGCCAAAAGGTGAAGAAAGTTTACCCTGTGGTTCAACAGTTTTGAGACAAGTTTGTAAGTATAAGTAACTTTACGTAAGTTTATCTTTCATTACTCCTGTTCACAAACAGGCCTTTTATTATTTAAACAAAAATATTGATGGTGACCTTATTTTATTTATTATTAATTCAGAAATAATGCACATTTAATTATTAGGTGTACAGCCTGCTCACCTCAATAGGTAAATTTTTGTCATTTCAAGTAAAAATGTTCCTTAAACTTTAATGTATTACCCCCAAGTTCGCCATCACATATAATTGATAATGGTTACATAGATCTTTTTGTGTGCTTCACAAAGAAGTAAACACTAGAGTACATGCAAACAAATGAAATCAATTAACTAAAGAGGGACGTAATAAAAACACAATTAAAAATGCAACAGTTACTTTGCTGTTTTAATTACATAAATAGCAATAATTCAGGTATATGGCATTTGTAATATGAATCACAAGCAACACTTAATAGCCTACGTCTTTTACTTATGTTATTAGTTTCATTTTTTATTATTATTATTTTTTGCCTAAACATTCATGTTAACAGTACATAACAGACAAATATCTTAGTGTGTTGTTGGTGCCTATTCACTCTATTTACACAACACTATCATTATTTTACAACACTGAGACTTTTTCATGCAGGAAAACATTAAACTATAAACTATTAAATTACTGGGTCAAAATATTTAATCCAGTTTATTTGGTTCAGTAGATTTATATTGGGCTTTTATTTTCTGCTTTTGAAATGATAGACTATTGGCTCATTTTTTGTGCTAAATTATTCCCAACATGTTGTTTTTTAGGCAGCATTTTAGGAAATTGTTGCAAACCTTAAGAATGTAAAAAAAAAAAGCCCAAGTGTGTAAGTCCAAGTCTTTCCACCCAAAATGAAATAAACTAACTCATAAATCCGCAGGCCTCAAACTACACTGCTGAGAGTTTGTTGTCTGCTGATGTTTAAAGGCCAATTATTTTTCCAGATTCCAAGATGATGGGCTAACTTGAGGATAATAATTTGGAACTTCATTATAGCATCCTCCGAGCTCTGAGAAACGTTTTGTGATAAAGTGTCCTGGAGAGGTTTTGGATAAGGCGCTTGTCTCCTGAGCCGTACTCGGACCGAAGGGTATTTGATGTGAGTAAAAGTAACTGGCCTGCCCAGTGATCATATTAAAAGAGCATGGATCGGACAAGGGTAGAGGACACGCGGGCATGGACGTGGAGAAAGTTGTGCATGAGCTGCCAATTTGATGGCGGCGTGCTTGTGCGCAACTCACACCAATATAGGACATCTCCTGGTGCGTCTGCACAAAACGTTCCGTGTCCGGAGCATTGGTTGCACTGAGCCTTGACCGTTGTGAAACAACCGAGGTGGCGTGGTTGGAAAAACTTGGGTGCGCTCCTAGGTAGGTCCCTGTGCCAAAGTGGGTGCGCATCGGTGACTGAAGCTGCAAAATCGGCGGCACAGGCCAGTAGAAAGGTCCCGCAGTGGCTAACGCCACGGTTGCTGTGTTGGTGTTCTGCAGACGACCCCCTTTTTTTAAAGATAATTTTGCCCTCGACCCCGCGCCGGTCCTGCGTCTCAGTTTCCCAGATGTGCCCCCAATGAAGACGTCCTCGCTGCAGGGATCCAACATCCAATAGTTCCCCTTGCCAGGGTCGTCGTAGTGCCTCGGCACCTTCACAAAGCACTTGTTTAGGCTGAGGTTGTGCCTGATGGAGTTTTGCCAGCCTTGCCTGTTTTGTCGGTAGTAAGGGAAGTTTTCCATAATGAACTCGTAGATGCCGTTCAAAGTGAGTCTCCTCCCTGGGCTTTGTCGGATTGCCATCATTATCAGTGCGTTATAACTAAAGGGTGGTTTCTCGGGTTTAGAGCTTTCGTTGGATTCAGCAATGCCTTTCTTTGATTCTTCTGTACTCACTGATAGTTTGGCGCTTCCGGGCATTGCTTTGTGTCGTGTTGTTGACAGTTTCAAAGACGCGCTTTCAAAGTTTTTAACCAAGCTCGGCTTCTCCGTGCGCAACGAGAGTGCGTTTGGAGATGACTGAGAAGCTTCCCGGTCAGTCACGAGGTCTTCACGACTCCATAGCAAATTGCTGATGCTAAAAGATGACTTGTGGATATATCCGTCTGTAATTTTACAACCTTCCATTGTTGTATGAGCAACATCCAAAACCGGAGGAGTCCGTTTTTGAGTACATCACTTGTGGCCACTACGCACTGGTCCACAGCGGTGCGTAAAGACGCACAGTGAAGTCAGGACCTGTGGAAAGTAATGGGACACATCTCTACTAAACTGCAGTAGTCTACAAGTTGTCTTTGTTGAAACCAAATAATAGTTTGTGCTTTATACACTTATTGGATTTCAAAGAACTAACTTACCATTTGCGCCCACCGAAGAGCTGAAGGGAAGAGGATGTCAGTGTGGCTGATAGGTGTACTCCGTAGCGCAATGATAACACATGAAATTTAACCTCCAAACACACGCCTTGTCCTCTGATTGGACTGACTGTCTATTTAACTCTCTCCCCACCTTTTGGAGAAAGTATTATGGCATTAAATCACAATAGTACAACTAGGAAAAGAAGTGTTTGTGTTTAAATTAAAACTATGTTTTATTATTTACAACAGTTTGATGCAAGCCCACTGTCAAAAACACAAGATTTCTTACTGAAGACATTTTTTTCCAAGAACAAATTGTACTAGACAAGCATGTTGTTGGATACCAACTACACAGTAATTGGGCTGCTTTAAAGTAGCGCAATAATGTGTTCTTTGTGCTGTTGAGCAAGTAGTGCATGCGAAAAGACCAATTTATTTCTGTTTACTGAGACAAAGATGCTGTTACTTCAAAGTAAAATAGTACAATACATTGATTTAAACAACATCTAGCCACTTAGTCATTCTTCTAACGTTAAAAAACCCTTTGTGATGCATACCTTCATCACAATTAATCATCACAGAATCCATAAAAGGCAAATAAAGCTCAAATAGACATTTCTTTGCATACATTTTTGTGATTTTATTCAAAATCAAAAAGCAATATACCAATACACCTGAAAATTAAGTAGCATATTGTAGTGACTGATTGTTTACAATTTAGTGGAAAAAGTTTTATGTGTTACATATCACATCACTCATTGTGCTTTGAGCTATTACAACCATGTCCATTCTGTCACTGTATTATGTTACTTTGCAGTCTCTAATTAATTTTGATATGTCCCCAGATATTCTCTTTGCTGCACAAGAGAGCACTTGTGAATGTTTCTGGTTGCGTTCCCCTTCTCTCTTATTTTAATGATAGATTCACCTACAGATAAATAAATGTTATGAAAACCATCTTAGTGATACACATACTAAGTATGACAGATTTAAATATATATATATATATATATATATATATATATATATATATATATATATATATATATATATATATATATATAGTATATATATATATATATACTGTTTTTGATCCTATATGTGCTACAAGGCAACACATTGGAGGAAACTTACAAGTCGCAAATACATTTTCTAGTATAATAAATGAATGCGCCAACTAATATTTTGTATGTAAATATTAAAACATACCATGCAGTATATCTTGTACAAATGCTTAATTTCAATTTATATTACATTTTCAAGTTACAATCTTGTCATAACAAAAGGCCCCGAAATCCTACCACTTAGTGCAATGTTGTAGCACCCCCTGGTGCATCATGAAGGTAGTTTGTGTAACCAAATATGTGTTTATCTTATAAACGAGATATTCACAGATTATCTGGTTGAGCTCAGTAGTGGCAAAGCAGAGTAGAGTTTGGCTCCTGGACATTCTGTATTCCCCAGATCTCTGTGCCCGAACAGCAGAAATTCAGGGAGAAGAAAACCTTGGGCAACTCCAGCCTCAAGGAGTTGTTTGACTGATGTTAGTGCCTTTAAACTTGGGCTTTCATCTGAGAAAGTTTTAATATAATTGAAATGTTTATCCATTTCATTATCACACCAGTAATTATAAGTACTTACCAGTAAAATTCCCCATGAAGGCAATCCCTAATGAGTCTTTATTGTGGCCCTTGGTATGAGCTCCCATGACACCCCATCCTCTACCTTCATACACAGTGCCATCCTCTCCAACAAGAAAACTAAATATATATATATGTCAGTTAAACTCTTAAAATTAGTAAATGCCCCTTGTGGCATAGCATCCTTTAACGTTTATAAAACACTTGCAAAAAACCAACTCACTTGTATCCTATGTCATCATAATGTTTGTTTTGCATATGACCTTTCTGGATGATTTGGAGCTCACTGATGCTCTCAGCTAGAGTTTTGGTATTTCTCATGGCTGTGTGGTGAATAATAGCTCTCTTTGCTGGATATTGCAAGTTGTCTTTATGATTTGGAGTAAGAGCTCCCCATTGGGCACGGGAAACAATATTCACTGAAATGTGATACATCAGTATAATAAGAAACTATAAGCATTTACAGATATAAATGGAGTATAATTATTAAGAAGTTTCATTTCCTTACCTGCCATAACTGAAAATGCGTCTGACAACTGACTAAAGCACCCTCAGTATCCTTTATTGCCTGTATAGGAGGTGTGGCCTGGGAAAACACGTTTTCTATTGCTGCGTGTGGGAATGCCCTTCAAAAACACACCAGTCATTAATCAGCATTCCTATACACCAAACTGTGACAACAGTCATGTGGGTGTTGTATATCAAGGAAGTTTGACAAGGAACTTATAGCCTATTGTTGCGTAATTGAGTAAACATAATTGTAGCATACAAGGAAGTGGCATAGGGAAATTTAAAGTCCTAAGTAAAAAAAAAAAAAAGATGAAAATTATGTTTTAATCCAAATGATGTTTTAATCCAAAACAACAGCCAGCAAATTTCAACTGCAATAAAAAACTTAATACAAATCATGCAATTTTTATACAAATAACTATTTTGTAACAAATAAAAACACCTTCATTCTGTCCATCTGTGCCCACAGTGGGGGGCTGTGCAGACATAATAAAGACGCATGGCATCCTGTAATAAAATAAAAAACAATTAATACTACATTTAGGGTTACTCTAAAAAAACAAATATTCATTTGATTATTTTAACAACTGAGATTGTCAATGATTCTTTGATACATGGAGATGGAGGAATAACACACTTGCATTGTGCATTGTGTAACTTTTCTGATAGAGGGTCTGTCAAATGCTTTTCTCCTTGGAGATGTTATTGATTTGTCTGGAATTTTTCACAGTAAACATTTCTATCTTCATGGAGACCAAACCATACCAAGTTACAGGTCAGATCTGTGGAAAGGCAATGCTGCTCATAGTCAGAATTTCTGTTTTTCCAGGTATTTTTGATCTATAATCAACATGTAATTGAATAACTGGAAAAGAGTTGTTTATTGTCATATTGTGCAATATTCCAGGCAGAGAAATGACATATCCATAGAAACAAGCAGGTAACAGATGCCCAATGAAAACTTACATAGTGCACCTTTAATATTTCCAGCATTAAAAATAATACAATAAGTAAACGTATAAAACTAGTTTACAGTGCTATGTGTGTTCGATTTACGTACCTCAGCCTTCATACTGTGAGACTGAAAGAACACTGCCTCCTTGTGACCGCATCTGAAAAGATTTTTTGAGCGTTGAATAACTAAACATTCAACTAAATGTATACACTCTTTTGAGCTCCTGAAACTTACTTTGGACAGGGGTGATCTTCTGTTCTTGGTAATGTGGGGTCTTGAGAAACATCAGCAATAATTTGAGTCAACTCACTGAAAAACAGAAAGCAACCTTCAGACAAAGAGAGACCAGGGGACAGTACGGTTCAGTGAGTGGTGAATATAGCTTATTGCTGATGACGTTACTTACTCGACTTCATGCGTGATTTTGTTGACATATATACAGCTATTGTCAGCCTCTTGTTGGTAGTCACAGTTTCTACACTGTGGGGTTAACAGATTTTGCATGAATGGATTTTCTACTACGAAAATAGGTGTTCTGCTTTAAAATGAAAACCTACCGCATAAAGCAGGATACGGTTTTCTTTGTCTTCTTTAGGATACAACATGTTGTTACTGAAATACATCATTGTTGCATTAGAATTCACTGTTAGACACTGTGATCATTCAATGATTATAACGTAATGTCTGTGTTGCTTTGGCTAACACAGGCTAACATTACAAAAACAGACTTATAAAAATACTCAGCTCACCATTCTTGGCAAAATCGTATGCCGACAAAGCCCGGCTCGTAGTTGCCCGTCTCCAAATCCATGGGAAATATACTAGTATGCTTAAACCATGTAAATTAACTTTAAAGACAAATGTGGGCTATCCGTGTGGTCCGAAAATAAAACCACTGCGCATGCGTACGGTCCAGAGATTTGTAGTGATGGCGCCCCCTTTCGGTTAGGCGATGTCATTACAATAGGTCCGAAACACGACCTAACTACGGACACTTTTTGAAAACTTGATTAAGTATGAAATCTGTCAAGTGTGTGTTAAATATGCCAAATGTGTAATCATAAAATGTGCCTACAATGTTTACCATTTTTGAGAGTACAGAGTAGTACACACGGAAAATAGTAGTGATAATTACGTTTATTAATTTTTTTATTGATAGGCCTATATTGGGTTAAAAAGGCACTAAATGTTACAAAATAGAAGATGCATGAAAAACAAGCAATTAACTGCTGGGTTATAAGAGTTGAAAGCCACTTAAGGCCTACCCTAAAAGAAAGCCAGTAAAGACAGTGTCATTGTCTTCAGTTGCCAGGATGTCATATCTGCTTCCAAACACCTGGATCCACACTTCGTCTTTTTTAACCAGCTTCAGCACACTGCTCATAGACGCCACCTGCGTACACCTGTCGTCCCCGGAGTTGGCATGATAAAGGGAAGCAACTTTCTCGCCGTTCTTGCAAATAGCACAGTGACCGCGTCCGTAGATTGACGCGTTCACGGCAAAGTAGTAGACGCCATCTCGTGGACAGGTAAAGACACCACTTTCTCCGTTGAAGCTGTTTCCCTCGTTCAGTTGCACCATGCTGAATTTCATTGGCCCTTGGTTTTTTGGACGGCTGTGATCAGTGCACAGTTTGGCCGTGAACGCAACTCTCTCTGTTAGTGCAAGAATAATTTGTCATTTGTTTAAAAAAAAATATATATATAATAATGAATAGACTAAAATATTGTCCTACCTGAAGAGAAGTAGTCTTCAAGATCCATGGCAGTGGGAGTGTCTGGTCTAATTCACCTAAATAAAGGAAAATTACAAAATTGTAAAGAACCTTGTTTAAAACTATACATGATACTGCCAACATGCCTTATTATGAGTATGCATGTTGCAGCATCTGCAGTATGCCTACACCCCCTCCCCAGCCATACACCTCCAAACCAGCCCCAACTGCCTATAGCCTATAACCTAAAAAAACAAATCTTATTTACATTTTAACCTATCTGCTGTTTTGTTGGATATGACTCTTATCAATCCCATTCTTAATTGAACAGAGGTACAGAGAATGGAGCTCCTTACCTGTGGACGTCCAGTAGAAGAATGCTGAGCAGGTAAGGGATACTTGCAGACACAGGAACAAGTTGCTTTTCTGGTTTCATGGTCTCTCAGTTTTTAACACGTTCTTTAGTGACAGGTTGGATAAAAGCATTTTATAGACTCTTTGTACTTGGCTTATATTACATTTTTCTTCTAATAAATCAGATGATGTAGACCTAGCATCATAAATATCAGTGTGCCTTGGATTTTACACATAAGCTATATTAACAACACAGATGTTATATCACTGATAAATGAAGATTTTGACTTAATAATCCATGGTAATGCATTTTTGTTAACTTATTTTTTAAATTGCTATTTACTGTTATTTTGAGGTGGTATTTTTTGAGCACTCATAACAAGGTCTTGCCAGTTCTTTTAACTTGTAATTTTCATAGCCAATTGTTGCACCAAACAGGTTTGGAGTAATGCCATTCTTGCATCTTCCCTAATCATAGGCTAGCAGGCATTTCAGGTCAAAAGAATGGTAGAATGTTGTCATAGTTGTCATTTTTGTAAACAATATTTTTTGTTTTTGTTTTTGGTTTTTTTATTGTTTTTTTTAACACAAAATTTGAAGTATCTGCCAACATTTATCATTAACTGTAAGTAAAATACAGTTCATATACATATTTCATGCAGTTTCTTCTGCTATAGGGGCTTACCTTTTGTATTATAGGGTACCTCTCATACTGTTAAAAATGACAAACTTTTTATATTGTTTAAAAAATTATATAAACCGAGACTGACATCCAAGATAGGTGATTTTATTTTTACTTAAACTTTTACAAAACCAAAAATTCCCTGCATACCAAATTCCATTATGCTAATTTTCTGTGGATGCTTCAGCATAATTGCAGTAGCAGAACAATACCACACTAAATAAAATGCATTCCCAAAATAGTGTTTTATTGGTACAAAACACATGTTTCTTGTCAGTGGCACACAATTGTAATCATCATCTCATCATTATCCTAAATAGAAGCCAACGAAGACTGTATCATTGTCCTCAGTGGCAATGATCTCATGTCTTCCGTGGCCCCACAAATTGACCCACACTGTATCTTTCTCCTTTAATTCCACAACAGTGCTGATGGTGGCCACTTGGGGGCAGTCGTGGGGATGGCTCGTATCATACAGTGTAGTCACGCTCTCTCCGTTCTTGTATATTTCACAATGGGCCCGTCCTGCCACCGACATGTGGACAGTAAAGAAATACAAGCCTTTCAGTGGACATACAAAATGCCCTGTCTCTGGGCTGTAGCCGTTCCCTTCATTGGTCACTACGTCAACCAGTTTTAGGACACCTCTGTGGTATGGGGTGCTGTGTGCAATGTTCAGTTTTGCAGTGAAAGCAATAACTTCTTCTGTAGATAGTGAACAGATTGATTGCGGTTAAGATATGCAGAAGTTGTATCTAGAACTACAACTGTAATTTAGACACTTACTTTTTGGATAAGCTGGATCAACAGTTTTGCCATCAGTAGGTTCAGGAAGTGGTCCTAATAACAAACAATGGTCAATATGTTTAACTGACTCATTAAGTTAAACAGTGAAATTACTAGAGAACATACTTATCTTTGGATTTTTATCTCCACCAGTTGGATCTTTCCCGTCTGACAAAATACAAAATTCACCACATCAATAAGTGTAATGAATGGGTCTTATTTAAACTTATGTTGCAAGGGTAAACAAAAGACCTTATGTGCAATGGATTCAAATACATTGAGAAAGGTTTACCTACCTTGTTTGTTGGGTCCATAACTGCAGATACATCCCATGATGAAAAGGGAGTTCTTCAGTTAGCTAGAGAAAACACAAAAAGCAGCAATTACATGGATCTAAACAAGTATCAGAAATCTTGACTTGCTGCTAATGCTATAAATCCTATAATCAAAATGAAGTATTACTGAGCCCACAGAGGTCCTTACCTGATTTCAGACCAGCGGCAGAGTGGAGCCGCACACTTTGACAGTTCCTCTCAGACCTTTGGGAGAATGCTGTTTTTCAGGTCTGCTACGACATGTCCGTTGTAGCCCCAGTTCTCCAAAACCTCTGTCTTTTTAGTTTTTTCTTTTCTTTTTCTTTCTGAATGTAGTAATGGATTCTTTTATATTCCTATAAATTAACATTTAATCAATAACCAAATATACCTAATGTTTTATGATACAGAATCATAAGTCACTTATATCTTCTATATATTGTCATGTGTGGACTCATGTGGAGTCAGTTTCTTAAACCTCAATAAAAGCAAAACATAGATAGTTGTATTTGGTGACCAAAGCACTTAAAATCGACCGTAAGCATTATGGTCCCTAAATAATTTTGTTTGCACAATCTAAAAAATATTGTTTTTTTTTTTATATCAACATTTTAAATGGGAAAAATAGATCATGGGCGTTGTTAAGGCCAGCTGCTTAGACTGCCTGTTATAATACCCTTCATCATGGTCTGGACCAGACCTCTCTATCACCTCCTGACAGGGACCAAAAGTTTAACCCTGTTACTAAATACACCCAGTACACCCTTTATTACCTGTCAATTTTAGAATTCATTTAGAAATTCTCTTTTTGTTTTTTAAGGGTTTGCATGGCCTAGCTCCACCTTAGTTGACAGAGCTCCTACAGCCCTATATCAGTATACCTTTCAAAAGTTTGCTGGCCTTCAGGGCAAAGTGGCAAAGAAAAAGCCATATCTGAGAGTGGCCAATAAAAGAAAAAGATTAATATGGGGAAAAGAACACAGACATTGGACAGAGGAAGATTGGAAAAAGTGTTATGGACAGACAAATCAAAGTTTGAGGTGTTTGGATCACACAGAAGAACATTTGTGAGACGCAGAACAACTGAAAAGATGCTGGAAGAGTGCCTGACGTCATCTGTCAAGCATGGTGGGGGTAACGTGATGGTGTGGGGTTGCTTTGGTGCTGGTAAGGTGGGAGATTTGTTGAGGGCAAAAGGGGATTTTGAATAAGGAAGGGTATTACTCCATTTTGCAACACCATGCCATACCCTGTGGACAGTGCTTGACTGGAGCCAATTTCATCCTACAACAGGACAATGACCCAAAGCCCACTTCCAAAATGTGCAAGAACTATTTAGAGAAGAAGCAGGCAGCTGGTATTCTATCTGTAATGGAGTGGCCAGCACAGTCTCCGGGTCTAAACCCCTTTGAGCTGTTGTGGGAGCAGCTTGATTGTACGGTACGCAAGAAGTGCCCATCCAGCCAATCCAATTTGTGGGATGGGCTTCTAGAAACGTGGGGTGAAATTTCTGCAGATTACCTCAACAAATTAACAGCTAGAATGCCAAAGGTCTGCAATGCTGAAAATGCTGCAAATGGAGGATTCTTTGATGAAAGCAAAGTTTGAAGTTTGGAAAAAAAATATTATTTCAAATACAAGTCATTATTTCTAACCTTGTCAATGTCTTGATGATATTTTCTATTCATTTTACAACTCGTGGTGGTAAATAAGTGTGACTTTTCATGGAAAACACAAAATTGTCTGGGTGACCCCAAACTTTTGAATGGTAGTGTATGCACAGCAGGGTTCCCTCTCAGACCAGGAATATATATATATATATATATATATATATATATATATATATATATATATATATATATATATATATATATATATATATATATATATATATATATATATATATATAATAAAAATAAAAACATAAAACATAACATATACAGCTGCAACATTAAAACTCCCATCAGTATTGTGAGTTCCAATTAATGGTCTTCACCCCCTCTTTCAAAGTTTGAATTGTAAAAAGATTAGGAATGTGCTTTACATATTTTATGTTTAAACATTTTACTTGAATGTTTTGCAAAAAATAAGAACAAAACAAAACAAAACAAAAATTAAATCATATAACAGTAAATTTTTTTGTTGTTTAAAAAGAAATCTGGTCATATGAGATTCCCCCATCCCTACAGTAGTTGTCCATATTTAGCCTGGTGACTTATCCCACAGAGCAGATTAGATGCTCCTGTTAGCAGTTGCCTGTCTGTTTAGCAATAGCAGTTATATTCTATATATATCTGTCCCCTCCCCAGCACTCAGCCCTTGATCCCTGGGCTAATTCCATAAACTGTCCCAATCTAAATCCACTGATGGAGCTGCAGAGGAGTTGGAGAAAAGTCTTGACTGCATTATGGATTCACAAACATAAAACACATCTCAATGCATTTCCAAATGTGGTGTGGTCAGTGTAGCCCTTATCCCTCACATGCAGCTACACAGCGTGCCAGCTCACAGGAGGAGATGGTCAAGCCTCAGTGACGTCATCCAACCCGCCACAGTAATCGAAAGAGACAGTAATCCTACTCCTCTCCAAAGCCTGCCAGTGGGATGGACCAGGGAGGAGAGGTACAGACTGGAGAAAGGAAGTGAAGTACATGGCTGTGCATTCAGACTTTGGAATTTAAATAAACAAACCAACAAAGTTCCACCTGTGTGACAGGAGTACCTGAAAAGGGGCAAACCCTCCCACAGCAGCGTCACCCTGGAGGCCAGAAGCCTCCCCGATGGCCCTGCGGAGGAGCAGTGCTATAGGAGTGACCCGTCTGCTCCTGCACTCCCTCCTAACGCTCTGGGGCCCATCCCACAGGAGTCCAGGTTCACTGTGGAGCTTTGTCGAGACAAAGATGTAGGCTGCCTGACTTCAGCTGACAGGTAAGATGCCTTTAACTGCTGAGTCCTGTACATCCTGTAATTAAAGGGGAAACTGATGTACATATGTACATACAGTGACGTATACTGTTTATATGGGCTCATCTTGTTAAGAGCATATGGTTAGAATGTCTGGTATAAAGGATTATGGAGTATGCAAGTGTGCATTTTAACAAATGTTACTGGTGTAGTTGAGGTAAGAAAGATACTGATCAAACATACTGTGAGTGCAGTAGAATAGATACAAGATCTTCACCAGGTAGTTTCTGTAAAAACTTCCCTGTTCATTATGGTCAACACTGTGAATTTTATGTTCCATTCATCATTTTATTTCTGTTTTGCTTTAAATAATTTTCAATTTCTTTTTGATTTTGAGGCCTGCCATTGACTGTTGACTGAGTAGACCATGCAGGTGTTCAGAGACAGCCTATGACAGGGATTACATAAAGTTAATCTTCTTCTTTGTAATAGCTACACAAAGTTTCCATTTATGCTGTGCACAACCAGTTTTATGCGGATTGGAAACACAGTTGTGGTCAGAGTAATATCAAAAAGTGAACAAAAATAGTGCACACTCCATGGGCCAAAAATGACAAATACCCCTTAAATTTAAATCTAATCCTGTTTAGTCGCGGACATGCTGTCCTCATTCAGCAGCAAACTGGCTCAGCGCGTCATCATTTGTCATATAGACTTTTAAACACTCCGAAAGAACATCCTATAGATCTGCGTCATTTTATGGTCTTTGATTCTGCCTTAACAACAAACAAAAGTGAGATTTAATGGAACTATACATTGCAATTTAGCTTTGTGACATTTTGAGATTTCTTAATTTCTGACAAACAAAGATAAAACACACATCATCCTGTTGCCATTTGACTAGATCCAAACAAAGGATTTGTCCTTATAGGCTCCCTTTCACTAAATCAAATGGTGGCCTGAGAACATAATCCATTTTGATATCAAATGTGGTTTGAATGCTCTTTAATCCATGTGGTGTGTTTGGAGGCACATTATGCCACACATATCTCCACAAAATCTCACCAGGTTTAACCAATGAAATTGGAGAAATCTATGGCCAATCAAAAGACAGATTAAAATAGATGCTGTACTGACAGATTTCATGGATTACCATTTGGCTTTTTGTGAGAGTAAAATCTCATCCTAAAACGTATTTATAATTTTATAAAGAAGCACCATAACTCCACACTGACTGTGTGTGCAGGCAGATGGAGGGCATGACTGGGCATGGCCTAAATGCTGACGACATCCATGGCAAAGACCAAAGAATACCATTTCAGGTAATATTGTTATTGCTTTACTTACAATGTGTAGAGCTCATCCTCATCATGTGAAAAAACACTACTGACATTACTTTATAAAGATGTTTATATTTGATGTTTATATTTTCTACTTAAAATATGGTTTGTTACTTAATAATGCTTCCCTGTCCCCTGCAGATCTTCCCTGAGCCAGTGGAGGTGGTCTTGACCCCTCAGCACTCTGTGAATCATGCGGAGCAGAGCCTGGAGCAAGAGAAGGAGCGGCTGCCCTCCATTGTGGTGGAGCCCACTGAAGTGAGTGAGGTGGAGAGTGGGGAGCTGCGATGGCCTCCCGAAAACATTGACATGGATGATGATGAGGAGGACCTTTTCCTGGAGCAGTGCATTCCTCCGGCAAATATTGCAGACTGGGGAGAGGATGAAGAGGAGGAAGAGACCTCTGTCATATTCAACCCACAACCTGGACTTACTCTTATTGGTATGTTGGTTTTTCGAGTTCAGTCAGGCTGAGGCAATGAATACTTGAATAATAGCGAACTAGATAAAATGTACATGAAATCAACCCTTTTACATATAAATATTCTGTACATTTTCGTCTTTTACAGATCTTCAGTCAGATGCATTTCGAGATGACACACCCACACTCCCACCGAGTAACGCATCAGTACTCAAATGAGTGACTCTTTCACAAAACACCACAGCCCTCAAGATGCTCTGACGCTTTTCTATGGTAGATGTTAGCTATTTCAGAAGTGCACATTTTCAATGCCAATATCATGATTAAACTTCATTCAGTGTGGCAGACCAGTTTGCAGACGTATACATGAGCGTCACTTGTTTTTTATGTATTTATTGTGGTCATTTTATGTATAAAAAATAATTACAATTATATTATAATTATATATTATAATTATATAATTATAATAATTATATAATTATTGTAATAAATCCATATTATTTCTCAGGATAGCTTTTAGAACTTACACTACACATCATTCTTGATATTTTTTTTGACTTGTTTCCAGTGAACTTCATACAAAAGGCAGCTTGAATACTGTTACTCAACATGCTCTGAGTACTAAGATAGTTCATTTCAAATGATCACAACTGTAAATATGTATAATTTGATTGTGGTTTTACTTAAATGTGGTGTATTTTTGCCCTCAAACTATGAATTAATTGACTATTCGCTCTGAACTTTAAGTAACCAGTTTCATGCTATGTCATTAAAGCATTAATATTATGGAAAAATCATCAAAATCATTCACATTCTTTACACTCCACTCTTTAGAAACTAAAATGCATTTTTAAATGGATGATCAGGTGGGGAAAACCAGACAAAAAAGTTAATCCTTTTTTAAAACATGTGAGTACTTTGATGTATTTGCATTAATCTGATAGAAGCTTTTTAAACGAAAGGAAGACAGGCAATCTGAGATCAGAATCTGAGTAAATGGTTTATTAAAATGACATGTAAACTAAAAAAATCATAAAATGTCTTCCCTTTGAATTGTGGTTTACAAGTCACTTAAATATTATTAAAGGTCCAGAAATAATATTATAATCAGATTTTGGTGGCCATGTCAACATAGCCACTGCTGTTTTGCATTTCATGAAAACACCTTTGATGTAAATCTCTTGTTTGTATCCTGTTCTTGGTCTAATCTTGAGCAAGTGTATTTAGTCATTTGGGGCGGTGTAAAAAAGCAGAACATTATCAACTTCCTTCCTACTCCACGTAGTAGTCCTAAATGTGAAGCATCTACAGATTATGTAAGTATAATTAATTAATTACATTACTTAACTGTCCTTTAAAATTAACAACTCTACTGTCTTTCATTTGGTTGATTTTCAGTAACGATGGAAGACTACAACTATGATTACAACACCACGGATTATATAATCCCTGATATTCTGGATGGGTCGACTGTAAAAATGACACCTGCCCAGATTATCTCCTTGGTGTGCTATAGTATTGTGATCCTACTGGGGGTGCCTGGCAATGCTCTGGTGGTGTGGGTGACGGGTTTCTGCATGCCCCACTCGGTCACATCTTTGTGGTTCCTCAATTTGGCACTGGCTGATCTTCTGTGTTGCCTGTCTTTACCGCTTCTTATGGTGCCACTCGCGCACGACGACCACTGGCCGTTTGGTCCCTTGGCGTGCACCATGATTAAAGGCCTGTTCTACCTGGTGATGTACTGCAGCATACTCCAGCTCGTCTTGATCAGTGTTGACCGCTACTTATTGGTGACCAAGCCCGTGTGGTGTCAAAACATGAGAAGACCTAGGAAAGCTGCATGGGTGTGCGTGCTTGTCTGGGGTGTGGCGCTCATAGGCAGCATCCCGCAGTTTATCTTTTATAAAGAGGTTGCAGCGGGACTGAAAAAGAAAGAGTGCTCAACTGCGTTTCCAAAGTCAGAGGGCATACAGTATATCGTTTATTCTTTCCGTTTTCTAATGGGGTTCGCTATCCCATTCTTGGTCATTGCAGTGTGCCATTGGAGGGTGTACAAGCGCGCAGAGAGCGGATTGACTCGTACCACCCGCTCTAAACGCACCCTAAAGATCATAGTTGCAGTGATAGTCAGCTTCTTTATCTGCTGGATCCCTCTTCACATCGTGGACTTCATTCTCTTGGATACCCCGCGTCACTCCCCTCAGAGGCCCAAGGTGTTCTTTGCGCACACACTGGCACTGTGTTTGGCGTATGTCAACAGCTGTTTGAATCCATTGCTTTATGTGTGCCTGGGACGCGGCTTTAAAAACAGAATGAGTCAGTCTCTTCGTGGTGTCTTGAATTTTGCAACAGAGGAGCCGCAGAAGAGGGCAAGCGTCACCAATACAACAGAGAGCAGGAGTCTGAGCACCAAAGAGATGACTCAAATTTGACGGGTTATGTGGAAAATCCCTCAGTCGTTCAGGTAGAATCCATGGCAAAAGGAGAAATTTATGCTGTCAACTGGACAAAATAAATAAATTGGCCAAAAAAAAAAAAAAAAAAAAATAATAATAATAATAATAAATAATAATAAAATAATAATAAAAAATAGACCCCAAACTGAACAAAAATAAAACTTTCCAATTTCTCCTTTTGCCTGACGGGTTATATTTAATCATGTTATTACTAACAGTCCCATATCAGCTAAAAAAAAAAAACTAAATAAAAAGTGGATGTTAAATATAAGAGTTGCGTAAGAGCTCCTAAATATCCAAATCAGCACAGCACTGTTCAACATGTTTAACATGTCAGCATTTTTTTTCGTACTTCTGTTTTTTTTTTTTTTTTTTTTTCTCTCACAAATAGCATTTCTGTGGCAACAACGGCCTAGTAAACTACACCCTAATTTCTAGTAAACTAGTACTGAACTGAACAAGAACTTGTCATTTTAGATGCAACCATTAGAGTGCTAATGTTTAAGATGTTTAAGTAGCCCTGTATTTTAAATGTGCCATGCTTCTGAATTTGCAACCACTGTGTTAAAATAAAGTCTAAGTTTAAATGAAATGCAACAACTGTATTTTTATTTACAAACTACATTCGTTGAAACAAGGCCACGTGATAGTATGTACATCATAATTACAACATTTATTTTGTTTGTTTTCCGATCTCTTTGCTTGTACACTAGTCCATGACAGTAGCCTGACCTTTAAATCGTATTTATTTCACACAAAAAGGTAGAGGTAGTGAAAATGTAATTTAGTCCTGAATAAAAGGAAAGCACATGGAGGTCAGCAGTTATAAAGTACAAGGACAAAATAATAACATAGGTATACTTAAAAATAAGCGTCTTGTGCTTAAACATTAGCGTATAACGTAAACACTGTACAGCTGTTAGGTCCAAAGAGGTTTATAGTTACATTAGATACAGACTTTAAGCTGTCAAAGCAGTTGTGGTATGCAAAATCAAACTAGGTATGAAATACAGACTCAACAGTAGAACTCACTTATGACATAAATGTTTGTGTCAGTTAAAAATATTTGTAATTTTATGAAAATAGGAGGCAAATCTGATAAAAAGCTTTTAGCCTGAATTGAATGATAAGTGAGGAAGTGGTGAGGCAGTTGATACACAGTGTGATTGTGTAGAAAGGGCTGGAGTTGGAGGTAGAACATTTGAAAATAAAAGGTTATTTTTGGAGTGATAAGGATTGATATTTAATTAAATCTCAGCAGAATACTGACTTACTTAATAATGTAAAAATGAGCCTCATGCCAAATCTAGCTGGTCAAAACAAGTTGGTGTGTGCCTCAGGTTTGTATCTTGCCATTTTTACATTACTATTAACATCAAGTAAAGGCCACATTCTCCTAAGATTTGAACTCGACTGTCACAAAGTAGCAGTACGGTTATTATAAAGAAGACAGAGCAAAGTGGTCTACCGCTCCTCTCAGCATAATCAGTTAAATGTTTGAAAAAGAAAGTTAACATGTTTATACAATTTAGACCGATTCTGGGGTGTGTAGTGGACAATAGTGGCGTGGAAAACGAGCTTGATGAATCACTGGTCAAGATCCAAAGAACAAACACATTACAAACAACATTTGAGTTATAGGTCCCTTGAAAATGGCTTCGTTGTTATCTCATGTCAGTGAAACAACTACTTTCTCACACAGTGGTCATGACTTTTAGCGACCCTGAGCGGAATCGCAGGATTTTCTTTTTGAGTGCGTGAGACGCTTTGATCTTCACAAAGGCTTTGGGCTGTGACGCGATGCCATTCGCTGCTGCAGTGGCCTGGGGAGAGGGCGAGGAAGAGGAGGAAGACCCCATGGCTAAACGAGGGGGCAACTGCTGTGGCCACACCAACCCACCACTCTCATCCGAATCACTGGACAATGAACTAGACCCTGGAGAGTACACCTCACTCATACTAGACTCAGATTCAGCAGGGACAGCTCTTGGGTAGGCCACTTCTTCTTCCTGACACAGTGGTGCCCTCTGGTGGTAGTCACTGTGCAGCCATTGTTGTCTCTGCTGCTGGTAATGGGGGTGGTTTTGTTGTGGCTGGTATGAATGACCATTGCGTTTCCTAGGTGGCCGTCTGTTGGCTTGAGGTGTATGGGATTCACCCTCGTCCTGGCTTAACTCTAGATTTGAGCACCAGCGTCTATTGCCATTATTACGACCCATTTGGACAGCCTGGTTATAAGTAGCGTCCACTCTACCCTGTGGGCGCTCTGATGTGCTGTATCGCCGTTCAGGCAGCATGCGTTGACCAAGTAGGCTATTTTCAGACTGTGACCTGTTCTTGCCATTTGATTTCTTTGATTTCTGGCGCTCGTTATGGTTTTTCTTGGATGCTTTATCTTTATTTTGGTGAACAGGGGAAGTGATCATTTGAATTCGTTGAGTAGACTGACCAGGGATATAATGTCTTGGTGATTGTATAGCAGTGTGACCACCTTGTCCGGGAACAAACTGTGCATTTACAAGGTTCTGGTGAATAGGAGGTTGTGGGTTTCTATAATGCTGGGGGGATGTGAGTTCACCACAAAGGTCAAGAGCCCCTGAACCACAGTTGGGGTCTTGGAAGGGCAGAGGTGAGGGTAGCCTTCCAGTCAGAGAGTGTGGCCTAGACTGGGGGTAGGGCAGAGCCAAAAAACAGTCTTCCTCCAATGATGGGGCCTCTCCGCCACAAGCCTCCCCTTCATATAGGTCACAACCCCTGATTTGACTACTCGGATGCCCCAAAAGGTCAACGTAAGGCTGAAGGTATGGGTCAAGGGGGAGGGTCTCGGAGGTAAGCGATGGTGTTCGGCGATGTAAAGATGTATTGGAATATGTGGGATCAGGGCTAATGGTTGTGCGAGGCTGGCAAGGCCGTGGGGAGAGAGTATGTCTTTGGATGACACTCAGAATGTACCCCTCTACCCTCAGAGCCTGCTGGTAGTCCTCCTCTTTTGTGACCTCCGTCTCCTCCTGCTGCTGGTGTTGTGGCCAAGTTTGGGTGGTTTTAGGAGGGTCCCAAAACCAAGGATCAGGTCCAGAGCCCTCCTCAGCGATGCCCTCTAGAGGTGGGTACGGAGCGGAGAAAGACCGAGGAAGAGAGGTGCGAAGAATGGGGATTTCTATGTTACTATTTGGGGAAAGTGAGTCACCTGTAAGTAGAAAACAAAATAATAAGTACTGAAAATATTTTGGAAGAGAACTTTAGGAAGATGACCTTGACTTCTGCAAAGTCTATTTATTATAGTTGCCCTTTTAACAAGTATAAATCTATATATATATTTACAGTTTTCTTACCTACAGACTTTGGCCTGTCATTGCTGTATGCCCATGTCGACTCTGTGTCTGTAGGCTCTGCAGAGCATCTCCCTTTTGGTGAATGGCCCTCACTAGATTCATAGAAACCTGTGAAAAATATTACAATATATTTAAATTTTAGCAATCTACTTAATTTTTAAAGGACCAATATTGCGCAATTTTCTGATCTATGTTCTAATATTTTTTCCTCATCAAAAACATACCCGGAGTTGTGTTTTGTTTCATTCACACATATTTAACACACAAATCCTGTATATTTATTCCACCTTGTGATGTAATACAGAAAGTGCTCCACTGTGTTTTTAAACTCCATACACCTTCACTAGAATAATTTGGATGATTACAGCCCTGGAACTGGCAATCTCTATTGAACAAAAGGTAAAAGGTAACTGTTAACTTGAAAACCACTTCATAAGGTGGAACAGAGCATTATGAGCTTTGGAGATGAAGACAGGCTAAAAGATTACTGAAACATGTATGAAACAAAATACAACTCCAGGTATGTTTTTGACGAGGTAACACTTTAACTTAAAACTTAAAGAATCAATTTAGCATAATATAGGATGTTTAATGCTAAAAATCACACTAAGCCACCAAAACAATAGCATGTAAAGTATAATTATAAACAGACTATGGGGTCAAATTCTATGTCAATTTCATAATCCATTGCACGCTGACAGAACACACATCTTAAGGATTAGGAGATTCATACAATTATCTTCTACAAAGCAAAACAAACACTGCATTATGAGGATCGTGTAAAGAGCAGTGTACCAGAACTGGGTCGACTGTTGCTGGCGTCTCCCGCAGTTTCAGTGTCTATCCTGAGCTCTCCCACCTGCTGCTCCAAGGACTGCAGCAGGGCCCATGGGTGGCTCTGAAGGGCGCTCTGCAACAAAAAACATAACACATGCTTATTTATTGTACTGTACAGGGAAGGCACAAACAACTAGTATTGACTAAGTGTTCAGACAGTACTTGGATAAAATGACAGATTTGGAGATGTCATCTTAAATGTTTTCATTTAAGCTGACATCTCCAAATCTGTCACAGTCCAGCTGTGTGAACTTTACTGCCTTTGCATGCACCTGCTAACCAACATGCTTATAAATAAGACATGAGAGAGAGAGAGCAGTAAAAGTAGGAAGTATATAATTTATATGATTAAATTATATTGATTTATATAACTTGATGGTACACCCAAGAAGATGGCCATGTTTCAATGTTCTTTTCTTCTTAATATTTGAATTTGTTACATCTCAGTCGCTTCTTTGATTTGTTGCACTCTTCATTTCAGTATAAAAATAGCCATAATCCATTAGTTCTTAAGTGTTCTTCCTATTTCTTTGTAGCCATGAGCAGACTGTACCTTTTATAATTGCCTGTTGAAATAAATACAAGTTATTTTTATTTCAGCAGACATGATAGAACCCACAGAGCAGCGTTTCTTCTTCAGTACAGAAACACAAAGGTTATCTGAAGGCCATCTCTAAAGTGCATCTATGCACAGATCTGTGGGTCTTATGTAAGTAGCCTCACACAGGGAGCAGCCGACTGGAACATGAATAATTCACAACAAGAGGAAACAGGGAGGTGGTCTTGAGCTGCTGAAATAAATCAATTTTCATTAAACCCAATCGTTATGTCAGTGGTTCATTTAAGTTCATTTTCCTTTTATTTACTATTTTATTAATATATTTTGAAGGAAAACTAAATCGTATACAATACTGATGTGCAGTTTTATGGATAGCAGTGTTGTTAGTGTTAGATTAAGTTTTTAAACATTACTGTTTACCCCATTGCTGTATAATAGTAAATAGATTATAACAGCTGTAAATAGTTAGTAGTTTGCAGTTAATAATAGTTAACACTTTTCTTATAAATTTTTGGTTTGAATGCTTTCTTTTGTTTAACTAAGATGTACAGTTCATGTTTTGCACAGTTAATCTGCACCTAGATATACAATGTGTGAAATTTTTTTTGTTTTTGTTTGAATTCAGGCACAGCAATTGGACATGCAAATCTGACAATTACCCATGGTCTGAAATCAACATCATCTGACACAGCTCTTTACAAGAGTCAGTACAGAGACTACAGCTGACAGTCTGGGTTCATCAGAGGTTTCATTAACAGAAGCTGAAGCATATCCTCATGACAAGGGTGACCACTTTCATATCACAGAGCTCATATGACGAGAGGCTGAGTGACACTGTGGAAATCTGCACTTCACTGTCTGTACACATTACTGTCCATACAGTGTTGTCCCTACAATAACAACATGTGAAGTCTATGGAAACAGGTCTACTTACTAGTAATTAAAATATTGATTTTGTGATACCCTACATGCCCTCCTTGATGTAATCCTCTTTAACACAGTTGGGACCAACACCAAAAGTAATTGCCTAATATTATATAGATCATAATGGCAATCATATTTTAACTAAATGTAGACAAATTTAAGGTGCACTATGTTAGCCTTAGCAGTGAATGGTTTGCCACATGCTTATCTCCATGGAGATGTTATTGCTTTGTCTGGATTGTTCAACAGTATTGCATTAAACATATCTCTCTTGCATTTATTCACTTGCGTGCACATTTTACTAGTCAAAAATACAGTACTTTGAAACAATGAGTTTGTACAATGAGTCTAACCTCCTTGTTCCATGGAGACAGACCAGTAGCATCTACATGGAGACAAGCAGGTGGCAGACTCACCAGAAAAGGTTACACAGTGCCCCTTTAAATGAGCAATTTAGTCAAAAATACGACTCATGTTTATTTATTGCTCCGCTAAATTTGTGCTTCTTTGTCCTTTAAACTACAGTCATCCATAATGTGAATGCTACAATGCTGAAAGAACAATTGACCTGATCTAACCCAAGCTGACCTCTGTTGTCTATGTCACCTCTCCACCCAAGACCAGGGCAGACCTTTAAGTGTTCACAAATAGTTCTATTGTTTTACACTAAGTACTTGCATTTACATCATTAACATCAATATTATTTTGTATTGTGACTCAGAGATGAAAAGTGTACTCCCTTGTTAAATACCGACTGGAAGTGAAAGCTGTGAGAGGATATGGGGGAGGCAATTTGAAATCAATAAATCAATAAGGCTGTTGGACATAATTGATTGGTTTCCGCCCTTATTGGACTTGAAATGCAGAGTGCTCTACACATAGATTAAAACATAAATGTGAAAATGTTTGGTTTGAAGCAAAAGTACATATACCATGCCTAAAATAATAAATTAAAGATGTGATCACACTAGTCCTAGTTTGGTTCTGTTTTGAGCCCATTGTAGCCCTGATGTAGACTTGTTTGTTTTGGTCCTGGTTTAATCCTGGTCTAGTCAAAGTTCAGCCCTAATTTAGTCCCAGTTTGGTGAGAGAGAGAGAGAGAGAGAGAGACTTGATGGTACATCCAAAAAGATAGACATGCTTCACTGTTCTTTTTTTCTTTTCTTTTTAATATTTTAATTTGTTACATCTCAATGGTAGTCCACAGTTACTTTAAAAAATATTTTTGCACTCAATATAAAAATAGCAATAATAGTGTTTTTCCAGTTTGTGGCCATGGGCAAAATGTTCCTTTTATAATTGCCTGATGAAATAGTAATGAAATAGTCCCTAATTTAGTCTGACTTAACCTCCTAAATCTGGAATAAACATGATAAAAAATAGATCCAAGAAAATAACTAAACAGGGTCCAATGAGATTTGTATGTGCGTCTAAAGCTACGTTACAATTGTTTAGTGAACATCTTAAACCTTATCTCTGGTCTTTCATTGAAGCAGGTCTAGCCACTATCTTTCAGCCTCTTTGATTGCATTCTATTATTAATGGTCACACGCTGGTTCCCTGACACTCAGTGCACTGTATCATTACTGTTTTACTGCATCCTCTGCGGCGCTCCTGGACGCTGTGGGGGATGGGGGCAGGGACAGAGGACCTGGTTTGGTAGACTGCTTTACCTTACCATTAAGTTGTTAGGTTTATAATGGGACACCTGCTTTCTGCATGGAAAATACTGACCACCAGGTGAACCAGGGTCAACTCTTGGACATAAAGTCTATATCGACCAGAGAGTGGAGACACAAAAGAATTTTAAGGGATTTAATCAAAGCAATATCTGGAACACAATAGACCAAAAGTGTTCTCAACAATAGGGCAGGTTCTGGTGCTATCAAAGTACAATTGTCCATTGGTTATTTGCTCTGGGATTTTCAGTCTTCGTTTTCTTACAGTCTTCCTTAATCTTGCTCAACATCTTATGTTTAAATCACTGCTTAATCCTTGAGTGGATCTAAGCCTGTCCTAGTTGTTTTTTTCCCTGTTAAAATATTTTAGTTTGTTTACTTTGGTTTTATTAATTACATGTACACAAAACTCTCACCATGATTTCTGGAGTTATGTTATTGAAATGTAGTCAGTTACATTTGATCAGATTAATCTTTTTTCTTAGTCAAGTAGTACAGATTTAAAATTCATTGTACTATCTTTCTAAAAAAAAATACAAATAAAAATAAAAAATAAAAAAATCTAACTGACACATGTAACCAGGTGTTTTTGATGATCAGATTTTTTGTGTGAATGCGCTTATCTAAATATTGGGTTGTCTGATTATTCTAGTTTTCAGATTTTTATCTTCCATGCAAATGTACCCTTTGTCTGTTTCATGATCTAAACAGGCCTGGCTTACTACACCAATACTCCACCCTCTTCTCTCCTGGTCTTGCTCCTGGCCCCTTGAGTATTTAACCAATTTAGAATGAAATAGAGTAGTTGGGTCTTGTAACAAAACATTTCACTGGTGAAATGTCACTAGAAACACTCCATTTCCCAGTATAGTGAAACCTACTGCAGAGAGCACAGACCGTTCAATCCTCTATAATTACTGCACTGTTGTGACTGGTATCACACAGTTAAGGCAGTGGGGCGCCTAAAACACAACAGAACCCACACTACTGCTATGTTTGGCCTTATTGCCTGTGTCTAACACACACACACACAATTACAATATGCCATATTAATTGTTTTTAATTAAAATGTGTTCTGCCATGCTTATTTAACCGAGCAGTAAAATTATGAGCGTATATAGCATGCAGTAAGTAGGATAAATGAGACATTGGTAGGATTGCAATAATGGGATTTTCTTAGTAATTATACAAATTATGAAGAGAGGTTCAGAAATGTCGTGGCCCATATTGAGTGCTTACATTGAATTAAAACAGGGCATGTGCTAATCTAATACTGGAACAACAAATAAGACAAAGGCAAATCCAAACCAGATTAAAGGTCCTATATTATATAAAATTGATTCATGTGAGATTAAAGACATGTTACGATGTTGTTACCTCATTAAACACATATCTGGCTGGAGTTGTGTTTCATTCACACATGTTTGAGTAATCCTTTATTATTAGTCTGGCTACATCTCCAAAGCTCAAAAATGCTCTGTTCCACATTGTGATGTCATGAAGCGGCAGTCTTCATATTAATAGCTACCGTTTACCTTCAAGTTCAGAAGAGATTGGCAAATCCAGTGTTAAAATTGTCCAAATGATTCTAGTGTCTAGGTGTATAGACTTTAAAAACACTATGGAGCACTTCCTGTATTACCAGATCACACCACAAGGAACAGAGAAACAAAACACAACTCCAGGTATCTTTGTGATGAAGAAACATTATAACATAGACCAGTAAATACCACAGTGCCCTTTAAAATGTGATGAATATGAATGAACTAACTGAGATTCAATCAGAATCAGAACTCATTAGTTAGTAAAGAAAGACCATAATATAACTGAAACATTTAGTTATGGCAGAATTGTGTAAAATTTCATTTTCAATAGTCCAAGTGCAACAGTGTTTATAAGGTTGAGTAGAGAGCGTTAACTTGGCGCCTTTGTCTGAGCACACTGTGTAGTTTGCACAAAGGAAGTGAAGAAGACAAACTCATTACAGCTCTGTCTTTAAAGTGTGGTGTGAACAAACAGGAGCTGAGCGCTGCATTGATTTGGCTGAGTGATTCGTCAGTGCTGAGTGGACGGAGATCTCCACACGCGGACTAATGATACACTACAGTCACAGGGCACAGGATGATCGATGGCAGCCCCCAAACAAAGGCAAAGCCAACCGAAGAAACCATGCACCAATGAGACAAAAGTCCGCACGTCACATAAATAAGGGTGTAATGGTGGATCGTTTTTTCTTTTTATAAAATAGAGTATGTCAGCAGTGTCACAGAACGGAGCATGTTAGCTGGGACAAAGGGACAAGGATATTTCTAATGGTTTTGCTTTACTTTCTCACCTTTGATTTTCTATGTTGCAGAAACCATTACCTCTATATTTGAAATGTATAATTTTTTGAGTAGTAAGATTGCAAAAAATCTGATAACGAGACACTGGAAAGGATTAGGGTTAATTAGGCTACATGTCCTCACCCTTTTTCTATGTTTTCAAAACAATATTTCTAATGGAAGTATTATTTTCTTACATACTCAAATTGTATTATTATTATATTATTATATTTATTATTATTGTTATTATATTAACAAATACAAAAACTAATATGAAAACTAAATACTCATTTGAGCATTAATACTGAAAATCATGTCAATAGGACCTTTCTTCTGAGTGTCTTGATCTACTTCAGAAAAGACAGAGATCATTATAGTGTTGAAATAGGCACTGAGTGTCAATCATTTTCCTTAGTATTGAAATTGAGTATGAAATGTTAATATAGTTTGTAAAAACACTATTCTATAAGTACAATTTTTAACAAAATTCTATGCACCTATGTGGATGGTGTACCTGTCACCACAATATATAATACCTTACAATATACATGTTAAAGTATATGACCGCCTATCAGGGAGGAGTAAAAACATGAGCAGATATTTGTGGCTCAAGGTTAGTTAAGCCAAAGGTCCAGTCAACCGCATGTACTGTATGTGTGTCATGCATTCATACACAATTCATACATGCTCTCTCTGAGGCTCCTCTGACACAGTGGGGTACAGGGGTCAGCTGCTGTCTGGACGTCCTACATCTGTCAACACCATCTATCTACAACACCACCACGTATTATTATCCAGGCCCCTCTAGCCCAATAAGGGGGTCCTACATTCATGTTCAAGGCTGCTTACTGACACTTAACATGGTCTCTACTTACAAAGGCATATAGGAGAATATTAGTTTGCGGATTTGCCTTGGACACAGATGGTGACCTGCAAGCACACAAAATCTTCTCAGAGGAATACCCCTGTAATTACTCACACGCTTGGATGGGCAAAACTGTTAATAAACATTGATCCTGACATGCCCTGTGTAGAAAGCAACATTAAATTTGCTACCCCTACATCATTTTTGTCATCAATTTGTTGTCGTTGTCTTTTGGGGTTTAAAAGGCTCTGTTTTTGAAAAATTTTTTTTGAGTCACAGCACACTTTTTGAAAATATTTTGCTGTACACCATACTAAAATATTACCAGTTCACATCTTAAAGAAAAGGAAAGTGGTATATAATATAGCAAATATGGTCCCTGCCATTAAGTATGGTTATTTATATTTGCGATTTGATTTGCATTTTTGGATCAATTTACTCAAATGTTAAATTATTTTGTTAAATCCATATGTGACTCAAAAATATTTTTGACACACTATTTCCTGGAACTCTGGTTGAAAATCAAGACATTTCTGATTCCTTTATTCCTTATACACGTTTAATCAAATATAATATGGCACCAGCAAATCGTCATCTTATTGCCCATATGATGCCAGTGTACCATGATAGCGCCAATGCTGGGGCCTCCTCTTCGTCATTAGTATTCAGCCCCATATGCGCCTATTGTTAGGGCCCCAGTGGAGGAGAGGGAGGGAGGTGTGAAGAGGAGGCGGCTGATTCAATTTCTTTTGCACCCAGTTCAATAATAGCTTCTTATTGTGCCAATGTTACGACATGCGGGGTGCAACAACAAAGCTTCACGATCTTACAAGGTGAATCAAATTAGTAGAAGAAAAAGCAGTTACATTTTACTTTAATAGACTTCACTTTCGTTTTATGAATACTGATTTTGCACAGTTAAGCTTGTCATAACCCCTGTATGACATTATTTCTATAGTAAAACACAATCCATAGGCCTAAAGCGCCATAATTCAAATTACTTTAGTGGCAAGTTATTTGAACACTGTAAAACATGCCATAAATTTTGTCAGTTGGTGCGTAATTAAACATGAACTAAAGACCAGAGGGACAGATAAAATGTTGCATTTATAACTCATGCTTTTAATAATGTGCATGGAGTTGCAACGGGAGCTTGTAAACTCATAAAAGCCACAAAAGTCCGTGATGTGGGGGAACAATGGGCCATTAAGAGTCGGTGTGTTCCCCAAACGTATCCCAGCTCCACCCCCTAATTTCTTTGCCCTGGCGCATACATTTCATTGCGAACCCCAAGAAATGCAAAGCGTCTTTTGAATGTGAAAAGCCATCAATCAAGTTTAATAACTTTTTTAAGCACATAAAGGTGACATTCATACAAAAGAGGCAGCCTTAACTAGGGGCGTGCAACGGTCAAGTGGATAACAATAAGGATGGTCAGCTGTGGTCTCTAGGACAATCTTAGATTTTGGGGCGAAAGTGGGGTACGCAATTGGGGTGTGGTGTGTGACTAAACGTGTGAGTCAACGTGGGCGTAAAACATCAGTAAAAGTCTTACCAGTTGGCGCCGGAGTGTGAGGTTCTCCTGTCCCCAGATGCTGAAACATGCTTCGGCTCCTCCTGCGCCCTGGTCCCGATGAAGGAGAATAGGGTCACCGAGAGCCAGCGCCCCGAGCACCAGGGACTCCTGCTTTTGCTTGCGGAGCTCAAGCTCACATAGACCGGCCAGACTCGCCTCCAGACACTCTTTGGTCCGACTGCGCTCCACGGTCATTGGGAAAGTGAAGGCACGGTGCATGGATGCCAGCAACTTGCCGCTACTCTTAAAACCCTTTATTGATAATATCCTAGTTTTACATCCACAACGGACCTGAGTGTCGTCTTGCAAACTGCATCTTTATGAGCTCCCACAGCAGCAGCGTGGTTACCCCTTACCAGCCTCTCTATAAGCATCGCCTATTCGCCTTCTCTTTCTCGTGGCTGTCAAACACAGACATCAAGCCACGCCCCCTCAGAGGCTAGAGAAAGTAGGAATCATCCTCCCCAAACGGTATTTCAAATCTTCATTGGACATAGGATGCTGCGTGCGTAGCGTCCCATCCCCCTTGATTCATTACAGTGACGCAGTGACCTCACCCTGCCTCACATCTCCTGCCACTGGAACTAATGCATTCTTTCATTTCACTCATATAATGCTGTGATTTTTATGGACTCTACAGGGCTGTACGTAAAAAAGCGTTCATATTTCTAATAGGATCTGTTGAAGTACCTCTATATTGGCTTAACAATTGCAATCAGTGCTAGTTTCATGTTACAACAGGCCATTGACAGTTTAAAATAACTGCTCCTTCATTGTTTATTATTCCTAAAAAAACAAACAAACAAACAGTGAAAGTGTTGTTTTGATGAAGGGGGCATTAGTTCCTGTGTGTGTGTATTTATATATATATATATATATATATATATATATATATATATATATATATATATATATATATATATATATATATATATATATATATATATATATCACACACACACACACACACACATACATATATATATACATATATATATATATATATATATATATATATATATACACATACACACACATACATATATATGTATATGCAGCTTGCAGTTTAAATTTTGACCTTTTATTTTGATCTATTTTACTGCAAAAAACCTTATATATCCTACTTGTATTTCCCCAAACATTTTTGCACCTGCCAGCTGTCATAACATTTCTGCAGTACAAAAAACCTCTATCACTGGACTTAAATAACTGACTCACCAGTTACACAAACTTTTACTTTTGTTGTTTTATTCATATTTCAACCTCTACTTCACATGAACCAGGAAGCCAGTTGAAGTGTCTCTATGAGGCAGAGCAAACCCAAACCTACGCGCAGCGCAGGCTGTCAGTGTGATGCCACTGCAGATAATGTGACATATATTCATTGTATACTGTCTCATGTATAAATCTCACTAAAAGTGTCCCTAGAAATCAACACATTTCCTAAAAAAACATACAGTAGAACAGAATTACACAAGTACACATTTATCAAGACACAGTGGAAAAGAACCTTTGCTATAAGTTTGATCAGTGGTTGTTTTGTGAGGTTTTGTGTGTTAACCCAGTCTGCTGGTTAGATCTGCATTGGTAGGGCCATTGCCTTTATAACAACAAGGCTAATGCCAATTAATACAGTCAATGACAAAAACACATTATTCATAACATGTCAAAAATGGTTCATTACTTGCCCGGAGTCCACTGCTGTGCACCAACAGCAATCATACAATCATTCATTTAACAAAGATTACAGCATGAGGGCACACTAAAACTGAAAGTAAAAGAAGACAAAATCACTGTATGCAGTAAGTTGAGTGCTGTGATTGGAGATGTTGTATCATTAGGAATTACAATAAATGATAAATCCAGTCTGAAGATAGTGTGCGTTATACAGCAGTTTACACAACAACCCTGTAAAAACAGTTGGGATTAAAACACTTGTATTAAAGAAATATTAATGCCCAATCATTAAACAACTGAATATTTCTGTACCATCAAACAACTACATAAGTTGCCAACATTAGAAGAGAATTTCTAACTGCTCACAATCACTCTGTTTCTTCAGTAAATATGGACTTATAGAACCTATACACAGCAGCATTAAAATCTGCAGTCAGTCATTCAGTCTGAAACATACCATAGGCATGATGTACCATTCCCTTAAGTCACCCTTTTATTCACTCAAGTAGTTCAAAATATGTGGGCCTGAATAAACAGTATAAGAAAATACAGTGAAATCGACCATTTAGAATAGCCCTGAATCAGAACCCAAGCCTTCAATCTGCCTCAGTCCCAGCTGAAACCACTGACCTTTGACATTCTTCATAAAAGTCCTAAAGTGCATTCTATACTAGGAAGATACAGGAAGTGCTTATCTCACCTAAACCTGCTGCTGTAAGGTAATTACTAATATATACTTTGGGTTTGGAGAATTTGATGCATTCCCAACAATAGCCTTGAGATCAACTCATGCTGATGGGTAAAACTGAAACAAAATTGATGTTGCGGCAGATGCTACATATTTCCTTAATATGTAAAGATCATGAGGATGACAACCACTGATTTTCCATGTTATCAACAGTACAATTAACTCTGTAACTAGGCATGTTTAGAACAAGTTCAAATCTCCAGTGAAACAAAAGTCTGAGTGTAAACCGTTACCCTGGCAGGGCTAATGCAAGGCGGCATACAAATGCATTAGCATCAAAAAGGCAGCGCTGGCGTTTGAGCCAGAAATAATATAGATAATATAATAAAATCAAAACAAGAGAGGAATGATATCACACTCACAAACACCCCTCACATGCTCTCCCTCACTCACACACAGAACATCATTCACTCTGTACGAACAGAGGAGCGCGAATGTAAGCGCGCAATGCGGTTTGCTGCACACTGGATATGTCACAGACATATCTGGCATGCATTTCAGTTTCTGAAGAAAACTTTTAGAAATTCAGCTCTAAAGCTCTAATAATTGTTTTATGTACATAAATTAGGAATAAATATATGTTATGTTTATATATATTTTTAAATCTGTATATCATAAATAATGTAATATCCTCATATATTTCAAATATATTCATAGAATTCTTCATCTTTAGGAGCATAATCACAGTTTAGTAAGATAAATACAAGACATCTCCCTAAAGACAGGCTGCAGCATCCCTTTTTTCAGACATCTGATGATCAGTGTTGACTTTTAGAGCAGTACATTCTCAAAACACAGAAAAACATCATAATATGGAAAAGAACAGCACAGCTCCTTTCCACTGAAGTCATGATTGTAATGCCAGGTTGCTGGAAATAATAAAAAAATAAATATAGTCTACAAGGAACCAGCCCTGAAAGACCAAGAAAGCTGAAGCAATCAGCATAGCTACAACACCTTATTTGGTTGTGAGTCAATACTGCGGTCTGATCAAGTGTATGCAATGGCGCCCTCCAGGGGGCAAAACAGTTGGAACAGTCAAGAGGACGAAGACACACCCCCTGTAGGACCCATCTCTTTTTTGACACAAAATAGGACCTGGACCACATGTACACTAACTGAGGGGAGCAAGGGGGTCTAAAAGCATGCAGTAGTTTCCCATCATTCCTGCCTCCCCTCTCCCCTCGTTAACATGGCTTACAGTAGGATGCACTTGAAAGTCACAAGATTTCAGTTTTCCAGTTTTAGGTAGTTCCTTCTGTAAATATTTTGATCCATTTAAAGGGTCCGTCTTGTCTTGTCAGGCAGAGGTCGCTGTTTCCCCACCTGTTCTGTTGGACCAGCCCATTTGTTAAGCACCCATTGGATGGTAGTGGTACTTCATAGTGTAATATTGCACAGCATGCCCATGTGCCCTTGTGTTGTCATTGATATTGACTTCTGTCTTCAGTCTCTGAGCTGTAGTCCCTCAAACCAATCCCTCTTTGAAGATTCAATAAAGAGTCTTTCATCTGAGAAAAAAAAAAGTGTTAAACATTAAATTTAAAGTTCAAAAATTAAATTTTAAGTTAAAAAAGTGCCCACTAACTTTGCAAAACTAACATAGAGTGCGTTTTTCTGAACAAGATATAACAATAAGGCACACAGCAAGATCAAATATTACCTCTTATGCTTTCAATGATTGCCAGACGTTATTCATAGTTTAGCCAAAAGCAGAGATGCAGTACCAGTATCAAGCTGCTATAACCCATTTGATAGGGTTGTGCAACAACAAAAACTCTAACATCATAAGGCAGCGTAGTATTTGACATATTTTTGCACTATGTAGTAGATTAGCTGGAATTAACAGAATAGAAAAAAATTGACAATAACTAGAGGGACAAAATGTCTCACATTATTCAGCTCGGAAATTCTACTATGTAGTAAATTGTTTCTTACAGTGTTAAAATTTTTGAGTGATTTTGACAACAGTAATATCCTTAATGAACTTTTATTCATATATATAGATGATCATTGTTAGCTTTTTCAAATCAAACCTTCTGAATGAAAAGTGAATGTGACATAAACAGCCAGATAAAAAACTATTTACATTTAGGATTATTTCTTATATTGAATTAAAATTATTTTTGCTTTTAAAATTACTTAAAATTAAAGTAAGGGGTTATGAGTTAGGATTAGGGTATTAAATAAGTAATTACAAGGCCATAATCTTTCTTAATAAACTATTTGCTCATTATGAATTATGTCTTGTTCATGCTCTATCAAATCTAATTAATGTGTAATTATTATAAAGTGGAACATCTTCTTTACATTTTAGTTTTTGTCTGATTACCTGGTCTAACAATGCCACAGATGACTTGATGATCTCCCTCCACTTCTGCAGCTCGGTGTCATGGTAACGCTGTTGTGCCTCTAAAAGCTGTGCCCACTCCATCTGCGTCTGCGGCAGTTTACTACAAACACAAGCACACCATCTTTATAGTGATTACTGTCAAGAGAAACGCAAAGTAAAAGTGAAGTATTTCTCTGTGTACCTTTCGTGAAGACGCAAGCTCTGCCATGTTGTTAAGGACTGGGCTGAGTACTCCAGCATCCACAGCTTGTAGAAGAGCAGCATGTTGAGGAAGACCAATAGCACCAGACTAGAATAATAAAAAAATATAACTAAGTTTGACCTGAAAATCTATATAAATACGGTATTAAACATTAGAATTAGGGTGCGTTCACACTTGTCCTTGTTGGGTCCTGGTTTGAGCTCAGTTTAGTCCGGAATATTAGACCTGATTTGTTCCTGTTCTAGTTCTGGTTTAGTTCTCCTCTACTCCAGAATGAGTTCCAAATTTAGTCTAAATTTTAATTTTTAAGTTTGAACGCACCCTCAAACACTTTTTATATAATCTGCCTGGTTAAATATTATGTGTACCTTAGACAGATCCTATAGATGGCAATAAAAAGAAAGAAAAGAGGAGTAATATTAGCTTATTTTATTTAATTTTCTATGAAGTGTTACTACAATACACTACAGCCCATAAACTTGGAATAAATTATCTCCACCCCTAATAGATTAAATATGCAAGAGGTATTCACAAATAGCTATATGTATCTCTTATTTTAATGTAAATAAAAAAAAAAATTAAAATCAAATGATAAATCAAATTAGTGGAGAGTATCCACATCCAAAATGGTTCCAACTTTATGGGCTAAACTGTTCTGTAGCTTGTCTGCCTGTCCCTGTTCTACTTACACAAAGCTGATGATAAGCAGTAGTCTGGAGACACTGTACAGAGCAAAGCCCCCTGGCAGGTGTTGGTGGTCCGGAGCCTGGAATCTGGTCTGGGTGGATCCTGCTACGTGTTTGATCCTCTGAATGACTTCCTCGTCCGTCGGCGTGGTAACGGGGCTCAGAGCTTCCTCCAGGTGTTGGCTGCGCATGTGAGGAAGGGCCCTTTTCTTACGGCGAATGGTGGAGTTCTTCACCACTTTGACTTTAGGAGACATTTGATGTGTCTCACTCATTATCTCCTCCAGCTTTGACAGCTCCAGCTCTGAAGAATGAAAAATATTAAAAGACACAAAAGTGTTAGGCACGGTAAATAAGAATGAGTTCTTATGGTTTTGCCTGGTATTGCCTGGTAAGGTAATTCATATAAGCCTACTAAAAGCAAAATGCAAACCATATTGATGACAATTAAATACAGTAGTCCTACTGAATGAAATGCTATACAGCTTCTCTTCAAAAAAAAAAAAAAAAATTATTTACCCAAAAAAACAACAACAACAAAACAAAACAAAAACAAGGAAATGAAAATGTACCAAGCTGGCGGAAGTTCTCTTCAAGTCCACTCCAGAAGTTTTTCTCAATGAAACCTTTGACAAGTCCCCACGGCTGTTTCCTGTAGCGCAGCTCTGTTGATACTCTGACCAAAACAATACAGAATAGGGAGATCAGAATACAAGTACCAAATTAAACAATGGTGCTAGTGTTTCGTAATTCCAAAACCACTATCCTACCGTAATCGACACTTGTTCTTGGCAACCCTGGTTAGCATGTAGCGGTTGAGAGTGTAGAAGTAATCATGGTACGGCACATCGTGTGTGATGACCTCAGCATCAATAATGTAGCACTCGCTCTCCACACTAGCTTTGTATAGAGTCTGAAATATGAGTATAGCATTAACCATTTAAACAAGATTTATAGGAGCTAGATGAATATTATACTGTACAAAAAGGAGTGTTTTTTTAAACAGAGGACTTGAAACAGGTTAACAGTTTGTTTACCTGGGTTTCTGTGACAGTAGCGGTTTTTGGAGCCAGTGGGTTAGACAAAGATATTGTGTACAGGATCTCACGGGTCTGGTCTCCATTCTCCTCCTTCCTCCATGGATGAAATACTATTTCTGAATAATGCAATGATACGAAAGTTACTAATAGAAATACACTACCAATACACTACCTTCTACTAAATAAAGTTATATTACTGACCAGAGAATCGCCGCTGCTCCATGAAGTCGCTCATGAACTGTGATTCTGTGAAAAGGAGGTCGTAGAGTTTGTCCACACTGAACTTATACACCTCGTTTATGTGCTGTCGGCCATTTAGGTCTTCATGGAAGGCTTGTACTTCACCTGCACAAAAATAAAACAAATTTGAATTTTATAAAGATGCAAAATATTTCTTAAAATACAGGCATATGCAACATTCAATTACAACTACAAAATAAGGACGACTGGTATATTACACAAAAAACTATGGAAAAAAGGATAACAATTTTGATCTTTCCATCTGCACTTTGTTTATAGCATACATTACTTGGTTACTTAAAGTGATAAAAAATATATATTAAAAGTGGAGACAAAAAAAAAAAAAAAGATTTAAGAAGGGATTATAGTAGTCGTAAATGGTTGCATTTATAAAGCGCTTTAATATTTCTGGGTGCTCAAAGCACTAAATATCAAAGAACCACTCACATTCATACACCAGTGTTCACAGATGCTAGGGCCAAGGCGGATTAAGTGTCTTGACTAAAGACACAAAGAAAGTATGTATGTTGGAGCTGGGATCAAACTGCCAATCTGTGACCCAACGAAACTCAACCCTCTACCAAGTGAGCAACTGCGGCTCATTTATTTATATAATTTTTAAAGTACATCGCTAATTCCAATAACATGACATACACATACCGTAAATACATTTGAGATATCTGATTATTTCCATCTATAATGGACAGTACACTTAAACTTAGATAAATGTATTGATCCATAAGGGAAATTATTTGAACTTGCCCTCATCATGTGTTTCGGAGGAGTCACTCAGTTCAGTGGGGATGTCCTCATTGTCGTTGAAGTCCAGAGATGGTGATGGGACAGGAGCACCCGGCTCACTGGGCTGGTTATTCTCCTCCACTACCAGAGGCACAGCTAAAAGGTCCCCATCTGTGAGACAGTCTGCAAACTCCTCTGTTGGGAGCTCAAACTGATGAAAAAAAAGGACTCTTAATAATGATGTACGTGTGTGAGATTAGAAATATAGAAACTATCTTACAGAGATTGGAGTGTCGTGGTTGCCCGGACTGGGAATGGCATTGTTAGGCACAACCTTTTTATGAAGAAGAGGAGGGCTCCCGTCAGGCTTCGATTCAACATTGTTTTTGGTCAAGTTGTCATTGTTTATCTCATTCTCCTCATTTGGGATCTCCTCACTGAACCTTTAGACACAGATATTCAATTCATTGTTGAAATAAAGTTAGAAGATTGACAGAAAAAATATTTTTAATATATGTAAATTAATAAAAAGAAAATAGGCAAAATTGACCTCTTGACCCTAAGAGCTTTTAACTATGTTGTTATGTCATTTCAGATCACTTTTGCAATGGTTAAAATATAATGATGTAAATGTGTCATAGGTTATAACAGTACATATAATAAATGTATAATATGTCATCATTAATGTTTTATATAAACATATATTTATTTATAAACAATATATTGTTTCCTAAAATTTTTATGAAAACTAACTAAACTAACCCCATTGTGTTGAAGTCATCATCCGGTGGTACATAATCCTCATCGTCACTTGTTAGACCGAGCTCATTGCCATAGCACTGGTGGACAAAATGCCACAGTTCCTTTGGGCACAGGGGCTAAAAAAAGAGTTTAAATTATTTGTAAGAAAAACATTGCACTGTCAACACAATATGTAAACTCACCTTTTCTAACAAAGCATTCTGCCACAATCTAAACATCATCATGTACGTCCGATCCCTGGCTCCAAATGATGTAAAAAAGTGCTAAAAAATATGACAGATACTTTATAAAACTTTATTTTAAGATTATAATAACACAAGTAATACAGAAATATATTTGTACCATACTCCCTACAACTGTAGAAAAGGTCATCATTCTATCATGTCAATCACTAGTTAATCTTCACACTGTTAAGATGAAATATATTTGTATTTGTACATTTCTATATTTTAAATTTACTTATACAAATACATTTATATAATTACACCTTATTTGACACAAGTCTCTTGATGTGTTTGCTTCTTATTTTGAATTTATTATAACAATTTATATTTTTGCTCATTGTTATTATAATATATTGTAATGTGTAAGTTAGATTGTTTGTCTAAGTCTAAGTATACATATATAGTAAAAATTAAAATATGCAATTTTATATTTACCAGCATCCAACACCCACTTATATACTTATTCAAAATTGGAAAGAAAAATCTTAAAACCCTTACCTTTTCAGAGTCTGTGGAGACCTGAATGGCGTTAGGAATGAGGCGAGCAGTTTTTTCCTTCGTCATTGAGCAGATGTCTTTTAGTCGCACTGTTAACTACACACAAAAATTAGACAGAAAACAGAGAAATTACAAAATAATTCATTAACATTACATATTTGTTTTAACTTTGGACTATACCAGTGTCTCCCAACGAAAAATGTTACTGTAGAAGCAAATCCAGTTTTCTGAGAGGTAGAGTCGACCCTGTAGTAAGATGTCCCGCTGCAGCGCACAGGAGTAGTCTAAAATACATGGACCAAAAAACAGAAGACTGAAGTATTGCAAACAAATTTATGACCCAACACACAAACAACCTGGCTACTTCCTGGTTAAGAAGATAAGACATGCTGGTGTACCAGAAAAGTTACATAGTGCACATTTAAGTAAGACTGGGCAAAAAATGGATGACATTTTTTTTCAAAAACAAAATAAAAATATCCTTCAGTATTGATTCATGAACATAAACAATAAAAACATGTTAACAAATAATTTAACACACAAAAAAAGCCTTCAAAAATCTGAACTATGCTTCAAACTACATTCTTGTACTGACAGTGGAGTGGCTGTGAAACTCCCGATTAAAACCAATAACCATATCATTGATGATTGGACATAGCTGCATTTCGATCTTAAGTTTAGGTTTTCATTTATTTTGTCTTCTCGTAGAGAAATTTGGCTTGGACCAGAGGTTGGTAGGTCCGTAGCATTAATATAACATACAAACATGACAGACAACAGAAAAACATGTAGAACTGGACGTATGGGGACTTATATACTTGTCATTTCTGAATAAAGGAGTAACATTGATTGAAATTCTATTCATTGCCCAGTCCTACTTAGTATAATCTATTTTCAAATCTTTTACCTCGTATAATACATTTTAAATTTTTTTACATACCCTAAAATTGGTTACAAGCTGATATGATGCACCCTTTACCCCCCCTCTCTGTGCCTTTGAGGATTCACTACTCACCAACAATGAGCCTCTCTGTGTCGGGGAGCTGCTTAAAGAGTTTCCTAAAATCTTCATTGCGCTGTTTGTATGTTGGGCTCAGCACCTGCAGTCACACATAGACACACATGTAGTTTCTCACCATCACCACAATGTCTAACTTAATAAAACTGCATAGTTCACAACCCAGGAAAAAGAACAGCAAGCAAGGACTATGCAAGCATCTGCGAATATTGTACAGTTGCATAACATTCAAAACATGCTGCTTATCTTGTATTAAATATAGTAAGAGATCTGGTGGTTGTGACAATGAATACCTTGTTATGGCATGACAGAAGCAACTGGAAAAAGCAATGCAAAAGTAAACAGTGCAAGCCTTTGTATTGTATTCTTGTTTTAAATATTCAAATTTGTATATACTCTTAATCTATGACTGAACTGTTTATCCCAAATGCTTGGAGTAAGAGCTCTCAATGTCCAGGCCAGGTGGTTTCTATCAGACAATATATAGTAGAATCAAGTTAACTACAAAACAAGACACTCTAACAGGAAAGTGCAAAAGTTTGCAATATATGCTATAAAAAGTTTAGATAAACTGGTGATAGTGTTTTTCCTAATGCTAATACAAACATCACAACAACAGTTTTTTTTCTAGTGTAGGAGAATATAAATAGCTGAAAAATGTATTTAGAATTATATAAAAAAAAGACTGTTACAACAATTTCCAATTATATGCAAAAGGCTACAAAAACAAAAACATTCAATTTAAAAAATACTACCCTGTAATTAAACAGCACTATGGCCTTATAAACAAAATAATCTATATAGTGACCAAACTTACAGCAGGTATTTCTTCATTGTCCCACTTGGGGTCCTGGATATCAGATGCTGCCCATCCCCACTCCCATCCCCACTCTCCTCGCGCAGGACCCTGTAGAAACCACCCCGCCAACGCCTCATCCAACTGCAGCACTGCTTCCCAATCGGACAAACCACTATCCTCGTCAGAGCCCATTTTCGGAGCACACGGAGCGCACCTGTTGCATTGGACTAGCCAACTAAGACACTGTGAGCTGGGGAGAAGTGTCTGTTGGTATGAGCACTGCTGAATCCGCCCCCTTCACTCTACCCACACGATCCTCCGTCTCTCCCTCACAGCAGAAGAGCTACACAGCTTTTGCCCTATAGTAACCCTGCCTCAACAAGCCCTTAATTATTACGGCGTTAGTATATTTTAATTTTCTTTTTTTTTTTTTTTTCAAAATCTAATTCTTGCATATGTTTAGTAAGCTTGAAAATGACCCTATATGTTAATAAAAATATAGTTTAAAACAGACAGTAAAGAAGCATTTTTTTTAAATCTACTGCTTGTGTACGTACACTAAACCTGAAAATAACCCTATAACAAGAATATATTGTTTAAAAGAGACAATAAAGAAGCACTGAAATTTGAAAGTGGTTTGTAGATACATGACTTGCTGTGTCAAGTATGTGCCTCAGCTGCCACTCAAAACTAAAGTTAGAAAGAGCAGCATAACCTTTAATAACCCCTCGCCACAAAAACAAAATCAGTCTTGGTCTGGAAGCGTGAAGACATGACAACAATCAGCTCATTGTTACATTTTCGACCCAATTTGACACAATCAATGCATTATTCAACTATCAAACACACTAACTATTTTACAACAACTTTTTTTTCATTTATTGGAATATAGCTGCAATCATGGTAGATAAACAAAGTGATTGGCACACAAATTTGGCACCCATAAAAGTACAATAGGTGTGATTGTTGTTTTTGAAGGTATTACAGTGCAAGGCATCCAGTGAAGCCAGTGCATGCTTTAAGATCATGTGGAAGAAATTTAAGTTTCTCAGAAGTTCTCATTTATTAGCAGCATGTTCTGGCCATTTAGTCTACTTCACTAATCAATGAGGAAAAAAGAGACCATTGTGTGGCTCTGAATGGCTGCTGTTCAGGTGACATATGATTAATTTGAGAAGAGGTGCGGCTGCGTTGGTGTACACGATCAATGATTAACTCTATGTGCAAACAGTAGGAGATAGCACAGACTGGCACTGTGAACTAGTCAAACAGGGTGGGGCGTCCCTGTTGGCTGGTCTAAAAGATGATTTCAGTCTCTTCATGTAGACCTACTGCTTTTAGTCAAGGTTCAGTCCTTAAGATTAAACCCTGGTTTAGCTTGCATTTAGTCCTTGGTTTTGTAGTTCAAATGCTATTACAAGTTTGGACCAGTGCAGTGCTGGTGGATATAAATTTCTTTTGTTTTAGTCTTAATTTAGCCCTCATATAGTCTGGGTTTAGATCTGTTGGTAGTCAGATAGTCCTATATATTAAAAAAACAACAAATACATATAAGTAATAATAAAATATTATCTTAACCACTGATTTAGGGGTAGCTTAATCTTTGCTTGTATAATATCTTGTATAATATTTTAAACCAGATTCTGTAATGTCTTTTGTCTAATTCTTTTGTCCTGGTTAGTCTGTATGATGTAATTTCATACATATGCTTTTATTGTGCATATTGGGATGCTTATATGAATAGATGTGTGTCTCTAACAAGCTCAGAATATTTTGGACGGTTTAAGTTGAAATCATGTAGTTTCAGGGCCATGGAGGATCATCATTGCCATGTAGAGAAACACACACATGCATCTCAGTTTATCTTGTACACTACTTCATATGAGAATGTGACGCACAAGTTTATGATATCTGGTGATCGTTGACTGATTATTTGCAGATTATGGTCTTGTGTGCTAAATGAAATTAATCTGTAAATGATATTAACATTATATTATGCAATAATACTCTATAATAAATCATTCTGAATTTAACAACTTATTAATCCCAGTTACCACCTAGGAAATCTTTTTATTCATTTATTCAGTACTCAACAACATTTTTTTTTTGCCATCTTGTGGTTAATTGTGCTTGTGCTTCTTTCTTCTGCTCTCCTTAAATGCTTCCAAGTGTTTTAATGAAGTGTCTGGTGTGTCCTAATGTTTCTTACCTGCATGTTTTAATGTCTCTTAAACTTTACTTTTGCTGCTGCTCGATCTGGACTTTTAACATGTGTATGTCTTTCTGGATGACCTGCTTTGCTGCTGCTGCGTAAACTTACCTGCATTTTAATCTATGAAGTGTTTGTTTTATCTTATTGTGATACCACTTTCTAGGGTGCCTTCTACTGGCAAAGGACTACAGATGGAATCTAACCTCTTGGCTAATTCTGACATTTTTTACAGTTGTACTGTTGGTCAATATGCACTGTCCTTGCTATAAATAAATACATCAGGTCTATCACTAAATCTGTTTTTTATCATCTAAAAAATATCGCCAGAGTCAGATTATTTCTCTCTCAAGCCAGGGCAGAGACTTTAATACATGCTTTTATAACAAACCGTGTTGATTACTGTAATGCTCTCCTTTCTGGTTTTCCAAAGAAAACTACAGCTCCACTGCAGCTCCTCCAAAACTCTGCAGCACAACTGTTGACAAGGACCAGGACCAGGAAGGAAGAGCGTATCACACCAATACTGAAGTCTCTGTACTGGCTTTCTGTGAGCTTCAGGATAGATTTTAAACTTCTTTTATTGGTTTATAAAGCACTTAATGGTCTTAGTCCTATTTATTTATCTGATCTGATTTTATCATATGAGCCCTCTCGGACATAGGTAGCCATTTTTGAACTGTCCCAAGAGTTCAAACTAAAATTCACGGTGAGGTGTCATTCAGTTTTTACGGCCCCCGTCTGTGGAACAGTCTCACTGAGGATCTGAGGTCTGCTGCGAGTGTTCATATTTTTTAAAGTTTAAACTCAAAACGTACATTTTCAATTTAGCTTTTAATTGGAACGTTTACTTGTTTTAAATTAAATTATTATTATATTTGTTTTAAATTAAATAAAATATATTTTACCTACTCTCCATCTGATTTTAGCTCTTCATTTTTCATTTTTACTATAACCTTAAGAAGCTTTATGCCTTACGTTTCTCTTTAAATTGCTGTATATATGGACGAAACCATGGGATGGGGCTGGGGTTGCTGTTTTTTTAATTATTGTCATTTTTCTGTTGCACGTGAAGCACTTTGTGCTACATTTCAAATGTATGAAGAATGCTATACAAATAAAGATTGATTGATTGATTGATTAAAATGAATAATAATAAAGTCAATTGTAAAAGATTCTGTTCTATTCTACTGATTGTTCGATGAGCTGTTAGCATTATGTATAATTTTAAATCATTACTTGCAGCATTTTTGATTTGAAGACATAATTTTTATCAGCTTGACAATAATTCACAGTTTAGAAGCAAAAGAACCGGAAGCACACAAAGCAGCATGCTCCATTCAACTATTTAAAGGCACTACAGCCAAGGCTCTTGTTGATTTGTTTATTACAGTTTGTAACTCAAAGCACATGCTACCACCTGTTCAAAGACCCATTTAGCAATCTGGATACGGCACACATTAAACCGACAAGGCTACAGATGCTACATCCCTTTATTATTAAGCCTGTCACCATTATTACTATATTGACTTATCGTTCTATATATGAAAGCTGGAACAGTATATTTTAGATTTTTATTCATTGTGTGCACATTTTCTTTACATTTGGGGTATATTTTGTATTTTTTTCTGCATTGCGATAAGATTTGAGCTATAGAGGGCTGAATAAAAAACTTTTATCACTCATTCTAAATACAAACTAATAATTCAATGTTAGTCTACTCTTTATCTATTGGAACTCATGTTCTCTTAACAATATTGTATATTTAGGTATATGTTTTTTGGAGAGTAATCAATTAGTTTCAATATTATCATTCATCATTTGTATTTTATTTAGCAATATATCGTACTTTGGGTATCGTGACAGGCCTATCCTTTATCTTTTGGAATATCACGGATACGACTGCTCGATTATGCCTTAAGTCATTATTATATTTTTAGTCTTATTTGGCTCATAATCAAAATGACTGTTATTAATAGCTATACTTTAAACATGCAGAGAAAAAATATATCTAATACAATTTACTAGCATTGTTTTTGAGACACTTTTTTTCTCAAAGCCACTTTTTATAACATTTTGTTTCCTCATCAGAAACATATTGAAGAGTTTTGTTTTGTTTCATTCACACATACAAACCCTGCATATTTAGGCTGAGTTCTTCTCTCAAACAGAAAACACTGTGTTCCACAACGTGGGACAGAGCATTTTGAGCTTTGGAGATTTAGGTAGACAAATAATGCACTCAGAATTACTCAAACATGCGTGAATGAAACAAAACACAACTCCAGCATGTTTTTGATGAGGTAATAACATTCTAACATGGGTTAAAGCTCACAAGAGTGAATTTAATGTAATATAGGACCTTTAATCGCACAGCCCTAATCAGAGGTTGCAGTAACATAAAAGTGAGAATAGGCAAACAACTTTCCCAAGGTGGTAACAGCACTCAGAGGAGTCAATGGAATGAGCAGGCTGCATGGATAGTTAATTTTAACCTATTGTTTTGAAAAAAGACAAATTGTTTAATCATCAGGGTTGCACAGAAGAGGGATCATGCTTACTCTCAGGATGTGCTGCCTCTCATGCTGGGGAGAGATGGGAAGAGGATACACACAACAACAAAAAATCAAAATAAAGACCAGAACACCATGGCATATACTTGTAATCTCCCTTTACATCAACACTGCAGGCAGAAAATGGGGTTAGCACTCCATCTTGTGGTACAAAAAAAAACTGCATGGTTAATAAATAAAAGACTGGTGATCTTTTAGACAGCTTGCACCTTCACTAATTAAGAAGTCTCAGTCTCCCTGTTTTAAGATGGTGTTAAGTCACTGACTGAAGCACCAGTAACTTTTAGTGCAGGTGTAAACAGGTTAAGACTCAGGTTAATGCTCAGGTTCACTCATCCTGTAAGCAGAATTTATATAGTTAATTCACTCATTCATTCATTCTCGCTCAATCACACACAGCAACAAGCACTAGTAATGGCACAATTGTAATAATGTATACAAAGGAATAGGATACTTACATTATACCAGCTTTGGCTCTTCTGCAGAAGGGGAGACACAGAAAAAGAGGTTGGTTAAACAACAAGAAGTATAGGCTACCCAAATGTTTTAATTAGAACACTCTCTACCACAATACTTAATTTAATTTTAATGGTCAAACTACTTAACACATCAGATCATCACTGTATACCTTCCCTTAATGATGTTGTTAAATCTCATTTGAAGGTGCTGCTAAACTACTGCTAATGGATCAATAAAAGGAGAGAAAAAGGACAAAAACTACTGTAAGTAGTTCTACAGTTTTTCTGTAGGGGAGAGTTTTACACTGTTGAGGGTCTGGCAAGGATTGTCACCGGGTCAAAACAAAGAAGTGCTTACTTTGATTAAGTTTAGTCTGTCATACTGAAAAAGTACAGAAAAACACAACATAAGACTTATCTGGGACAGGGGTAAAAAAAAATCTGATCCAAATTACTGAGAGGTTTATTATTGCCATGTCATTATACGCTGTCCTGGTTTTTGCTGCAGAGATGTGGGGCACCCCTTTTACTCAATGCTCTATTATTTGGATTGCATTAGCAGCAGCCTGATCAGGCTCACATTGTAGGTCGATCTCACGCCATTCACTGTCATGTGACCTCATCACTCACGTGGGAGATTCAAATAAGGGTGTTATGCTTCTAATGTAACTAAAACAATGACGTAAGTTTTATTGAAAAAACAGACAATGCCCAAACAGCTTGATAGTAACATATGTGGAGTTTAAAGTGCCCATATTAAGCTTTTTCTGATCTATGTTATGATATTGTTCTCATCACAAACATAACTGGAGTTGTGTTTAATTTAATTCACACATGTTTAATAGACAGACCATGCATATTTAGACAGTGTTCTTCTCTCTTCTCTTAAACTACATACATCTTCACTGGAATCATTTGAGTTATTTCAGCCCTGGAATTGTCTATCTTTACTGAACAAAAGGTTAAAAGTTGCTGTTAACATGGAAAATACAGCTTTATGACATCGCAAGGTGGAACAGAACATTTTGAGCTTTGGAGATGTAGACAGACTAATTATAAAGGATTACTCAAACATGTGTGAATGAAATGAACACAATTCCGGGTATGTTTTTGAGGAGGTCACAACATTATAACATGGCTCAAAGCTTGCAAGAGTAAATTTTGTGTAATATAGGACCTTTAACACACATTTGGCCCATAAGTATCAACAACATTCGAACAGTATTTAAAACAATGTGGGATTTATTTGAAGACCTCATGCATTATACATTTTGAACTTATTTACTTATTGAAAAATATTTGGAATTGCTGCACTACCACTTGAGGACATCTGGTAATGACTTTGGCCACAAGACAGTGAAATAAAAGATGAGTACAATAACACCTCTCCAGTACCACAAAAGGACAAAGTCAGTTTTCAAGGGGTGCAAATTGGTCAAGGCTATAAGCTGTGTGATACCATGATTAGGTTTTCACAGGACCATCTATGTTTAGTGGCTCTATCCCTAATAAATGTGTTCATAGGGATGCCATTGAGTGGTGAGTACCATGGCCTGGGTCTACAAACACATTGCACCGGTACTTACTGGCCATCCTTTATTTTTATTTATTTATTTATTTCCCAAATTTGATTAGTTTCAACCAAAAGTAAAGACAGTCTAGTTTTTCCAAAACATTGTAGACTTTCATAGTGAATTTTAATATATTTTCAGTAGCAGCAGCAGTAGTAGTAGTAGTAGTAGTAGTAGTAGTAGTAGTAGTAGTAGTAGTAGTAATAGTAGTAGTAGTAGTAGAATTGTTAGTATGTAAAGTTGGTATTTTATTGTGGGGTTTTAAAATATTGTTGCAGTGGAAACAAGAATAAACAAGCAAAAGGAGAAATTAAAAGGGTCCGGTGTGTTGGGCTAGTTGTTGAGAATTGCAGCATAAGCAAATACAGGCAGACAGAGGGTAAGTGGTAGTAACATGTGAAAAACAGAAAAAGTGATGCTTACTTTGGAAAGTCGCTTGTGAGACTAGCATGCGATGAAGAGAAGAACAGAGAAAAATCAGAAGACAACAGAACAAAAAGCAAGAATCAACAGACACAAGAAACACATTGTGATAAAGCAATGTGTTTTACAATGCACATGTAGTGTGTAGCAGAAAAAAAACAAACTCAAGAACAAAACTGTACATGATTTTTAAAAGCAACAAGAAAAGGGTTAGCTAAAATCATCTGAAAACAACAAATGAGTGCTAAGCAGATGCACAAATTCCACAGTCAGAAAAAAACACAAGTTATTTACTATGAACCAAATGAAGGTTTAAGTGGTGTGAGGAACTTGACAACGAAAAACCATACAAGATCATAAAGCTATATAAAAATATCAATGATTTGTGTAAATGATGTATACATTTTGCGCAAAAACATATATAATGCATAGTGCTTGATATTGGTAAAAGAAAACTTTTTTCAGCATATGGTACTTTTTGGTAACACTGTGATCAAATGTAACCCATTTTGATAATACTCACCTTGGAGTTCTTGCCCCCACTGCGCGAGGACTGCAGCGAGTATGTTCTCTGGACCACCTGCTCTGGTGTGGAGGGCGACTTGTCCGAGGAGTGGTCTGAACCCTTCTCCACCATGTTGTCCCCCTCCGGGCTCTGTGGGGTCGGGGAGTGCGAGCGCTTTCGTAGGACCGGCGAGCAGGCGGGGGTGCTCTTGTTGGAGTTACTGGCAGTGCTGAAAAACAAACAAGAAATAAAAAAGAGATGAACAGTCTTTTCACATTTTCTATGATGGCAATGGTGGACAAAAGTTTTTTCAGAGCACTTTCAACCTATGACTGAAGGATTACCATATTTAAAGTCAATGGGAATTTTATTATGCAGAAATCTTCTATAATGGGTTACACTAGTTAGAACAGGGTACGTGTGAATGGCTAATTTGATTTATTGTTAAAAGCAGATATACATTTCTTAAAAGATTAAGAAGAAGTAGTGTAAAATAACAGCTATTTATTCGTTAGGCAATAGCTGAATTCTTTTATGCGAGATAAAAACCTCTGACTGGCTCTTACTAGACCAATTTTGTTGAATAAAGACATTTTTTATACAATTCTGTATCAACATAACATCATAATCCAATCTTTACTACATACAAGAGGTGGGTGATATTGATTTGAATTTAAATAATATAATAATATATGTTTTAGGATTATCCATGGCCATTCATTACAAAGGTGCAAAAATGTGCATGTAAATGATGTTGTTTACTTTCAAGAATTGCAAGAAAAATTTAATAAACTGCAAAAACCACAATCCCAATTTTCTGTTTTAGCAGCCTTTTTAAATATTTGACAATATATCTGATATTCTAATGCACACCTCCAAAATAACAACCTCTGTATCACAACGCACACAAGAATAGTTCATGGCCTATTCAAAAGACACTTGGATGGCTCATTCCATTAAGGCATCATTCCCTATGGGCAATTTTCAGTATATTCATCCAAGTAATTAGGCCGTCTATATGTCTGAGGTAAGGAGATATAGTACAGAGAAGACATCAACTCCACTTGCTCTTTAGAAGCATTCACTATCACAATGCTTTTTATAGAGACTTTTATATTATACAAATGTAAAAAAAAAAAAAAAAAAAAAAAAAAAAATATATATATATATATATATATATATATATATATATATATATATATATATATATATATATATATATATATATGAGCCAGAAGTTCATAATGAAAGCAAAAGTATAACATGTTCCCAAACAAATAAGCCTTACATCAGCTGAGGCTTAGCAGGGTTCAGCTCCATGTGCTGCCCTGAATAACAACAATTAAGCTAATGCTAGAAACTTCAATGGACCACAACAACAACAACAACAAGCAGGAAGCAATGGTCAACCTATTTTTGTGACTGTATCATTTTACAATAACAAGGGATTACTTATGCATTAGTTAAAAGCTTAAAACATATTTTATCCTTTTACAGTCTGTTACTTTACATCATTAGGCGATCTGACATGTACATCAGGGTTTCTGTATATTACTGTATTAAAACGATTTATTTATTTCAATTTGAAGGACTTGGAGAGCTTTTAGCCATGCTATACTGTTGATACTTCATCAAAAACATACATGGAGTAGGATTTTTTTTCTTTTACACATGTCTGAGCAACTCTTTATTATTCGCCTGTCTACATCTCTAAATCTCAAAATGGTGAATGTCAAATGTCCGAACAGCCAGTGGAGTGTTTTAAGTCTCGTCTTAAGGCCCACTTTTACTCTCTGGCTTTTAACACTGCGTGAGTTGTGTGGTCCTGTGTCTTTTATTTAATAGCATTTTTTTTATTTTTTATTCTTTTTTTTTACTTATGATGTTTTTATTTATGATTTACTGTGTTTTATTGTATTAATTTGTATGTGCAGCACTTAATTATCATGTATATAAAATGTGCTATATAAATAAAGTGGATTGGATTGAAATCATCTGAATGATTCTAGTGAAGTAGTTTATGGAGTTTATGGAGTTTATAAACACTGTGGATCACTTCCTGTATTGCCACATCACATCACACCACAAGGTGGAACAAAGTTTCTTCTGTTTTAGAGAAGTATGGTTTGTGTGTTAAACATGTGTGAATAAAACAAAACACAACTCCAGGTATGTTTGTGATAGGGACACAACATTATAATATAGATCAGAAAATAGTGTAATATGGGCCCTTTAGTAGTATAGTATAGTAGTAGTCCTATGTTGAAAAAGTACAACCTTTAATACCTGAATGAAGACATCAGCAAACCAAAAAGCAGTCCTGTGGTGAGGTAGGCAGACAGACAGGTGGTGAGGTGGCCCCTGCTCCTCAGGGTACACACAGTTCCTATCAAGTATCCTCTGCACCACGACTACACATTTTCCCCTTCAGACAAAGACACACAACCGTGGCTCAGCTAGCGGTCTTTCCTTAATGTCGGAGGCTAACAACAAAAGCCAGTGTTAAGTGATCTGTGCGGCCACGCGCCTGTCGGGCCTGGTTACTTGACAGGGCGTTATGCAAGGCCCTTACATCACTGCCAGCCAATGTCTGCTGTTAATGTACCTGAAGCATTTGGGCTTGAGCAGAAAGATTTATAATAACTAAGTTAAAATCGCAATTAGAAGAGTTGTAAATAGCAAAGTGTTAAGTTTGCAGTCGTTTGGGTAATACAGTGGTGTCGATCATGCACCCTCCTGTCCCTTTGAGCTCTTCTTATGTTACATGATTGCAATTCTTTTATCTTGTATTAAAGGTGCATTGCAACCTGGTGGAGAATTTGTCAAATGTTTTTCTTCATGTCTTGTCTGGAATGTTTCACAGTATGTCATTAAAATTATCTATCTTGTGGAGCCCAAACCAGACCAAGTTACAAATCAGATCTGTGGAGCGGCAACCTTGTTCAGTCTGTTTTTCTAGGTACTTTTGAATTATAAAACCACTTGTAATTGCATAATTTAAGGTAAGAGCTGTTTAATGTCATACTGTGGAACATTCCAGGCAGAACAGTTACTGTACATATAAATAGAAACAAACAAGTAATGGACCAACTGCCAAAACGTTACATAGTACACCTTTAATTTTATTTTGTAATGTTAATGCTCCAGTATGTGTTTAAATGTTCACTTTGAGTTTAGTCCTATGGCAGTATGGGAGACAAAAATGAAGGGAGAATGGATTATAATATAAACATTATAACATTATTTACATGTTTGACGGATCACTATAGACTACCAACATTGATATTCTTCTCCAGTAATTGTCTGAATCACCACTCATAAACGGAATTTAGGTGTACATGCAGACCCAGTTCATCTGCACTATCCATTTTAGCAATATATCCTAGTATATCCTCATTTATGATATCTTAAAGTGTCTGTAAATTGTGGTTTACCATCACTGTTTGTTTTTCAAATGCAGTTTGACCAATCTGACCCAATGAAAAGAATAAAACCAAGGCGATGTGAATATACTTTCAGCATATAAATGACTCATATATTATATTTTGAAAAAGTGTTAACTTTCTGTTTGACCTCAGCCCACACTGAGGCAAATAACACAATTAATACAGCATTCACCTCCTCATAAGGACAATTTAACATTTTACAAAAACAAGTCCCCGGTTCCATGCAGGACTAGTATACTTTTGTTTGTCATGAAGCATAGATTAATATTACAAAGCAGCACATGTATCCACTGTTACTCTACAGAATAAGTAACTATAATACTGTAAAAGTAGTAGAAAGTTGTAGATTTGACTTGTTGTTGTAACTAACTATAAATACAACATGAGATGAGTGAATGATGCTATAGTGAAATGTGTTTTAAATGAGGTGAGACTAATTATTTTTTAAGAATAAACCACTCAATCAGTACACACATAATTGACATCAAATTGTCCAGGGACAACAGGTGTCAGTCTGGCACATGGCATTTCATTTTTCAATAACGACATTTTTTTCTGCAAATTCTGCTCCAGTCACTATATCACAAAGCAAAATCTTCAAATTGTACAAAGTAAACAAAAAAGTAGCCTCTATAATCTCTAAACAAGCACACACTACAGATGCAATAAACACTGGAGTGAATGCTGCAGAGAGGAAAGGGAACCACCAGACTACTGAAAAGCTCCAACAAAGCTCTGTTAAGAATGAATATCTCTATAGCAACAGAGAAGAGAGAGAGTTTAAATATTCAATGTGTAGCTAAATATACCCGCCCAGCCTTTTCCTGTTAGAGATGCTGTTAGAGTGGGAAATACAGCAGAGGCCAAGTGACAGACAATGCATCAGAGGAACTGTGAGCCAGCCAATAGGAATGCACGAGCAGACACAACCAATCAAGACACATAATCACATTAGCCATTCGTTTCTTATTGATTATTTCACCAGCTATAAGCAGACATCATAAATCAGGGCACTAAGCTGCACATTGTGAGAATTAAATTAGGCATAAACATATATGTTAAACTGCTTTTAATAACTAGAAAGGAGAATGGCTGACAGTAGTGCAGGTGTTTTCCCATCAACAAGAGGATCAGCAGTTCAAGTCCTTGTCCTTGGAAAATACACTTACATTATTTACTGTTGAAGTATGTAACTATGTCAAGAAGGACATTTGGCCATAAACCCAGTCAAATCACTCTGTGACTGGAAGTCAGCTGGTATTGTTGTTGACATCAATATAACTCTTACCCCTAGGCCCAATTAAAAGGAAAATATGAACATGAATGGAAATGTAATAGGTATATGCTTCACCTCAAAAGGAACAAAAGCAAATCACAAACAAAAACTAAACACAACCCAAAGTAGATAATACCATAAGTTGTTATGTAAGGAAAATATAGGACATAACGGTGATGATTGCATGAGGGTCAAGTTCCTCTGTAGAACGATAAACAGAAAGGAAACGGGCTTGCTACTTGCACCACTTTGTAACAGTTCTTTCTTTGAATAAGCTCTAAAGCCCTAAATCCAACTGGCCCAAGCCGTCCAAACGTCCCGGCACAATGGACACAGTTCCGGATCTTTCTGAGGGCCTCATGGTTTTCACAGTTCTGCTGACCCTGGAAAATACCCATCTGGCACTGGGCCTTCAGCTGCACTCTTCTTTCAACAGGCCACAAGGAGCTAAATAACCACTGTGCACATGTGTGCACATGTTTGTCTTTAGTTTGGAATACAATTCAT